CCCCTAAATGTTGGGCTAAGGTAACATCCCCAGGATGTACTGGGAAACCAGAGTAACCTGAATGTACCTTTCCTGGTTAAATACTTTGTTATTATTATTATTATTATTATTATTATTATTATGTTAACTTCAAAGAAAAAATTGAAACATATTATAAATACACACACACACACACACACACACACTTGCAACATTAGATTAAATATTATTGGATTTCCTAATGTTTATAATGGTATGAGAATGTCTTGTTTAGTTTTCTATGACATAGTTTAGAATTTTTTGGTTTAGAAAATATTATGTGCCTCTACACCTTGTTTCCCCAGGCCTTGTGATCCATGTGTGTTGTATTTATATCCTGTTTCCCGGGGTTTATGGTCCATGTTTGTTGTATTTATATCCTGTTTCCCAGGGTTTATGGTCCATGTATGTTGTATTTATATCCTGTTTCCCGGGGTTTATGGTCCATGTGTGTTGTATTTATATCGTGTTTCCCAGGGTTTATGGTCCATGTGGGTTGTATTTATATCGTGTTTCCCGGGGTTTATGGTCCATGTGCGTTGTATTTATATCGTGTTTCCCGGGGTTTATGGTCCATGTGTGTTGTATTTATATCCTGTTTCCCAGGGTTTATGGTCCATGTGCGTTGTATTTATATCGTGTCACAACCTAAATAAAGAATAAAAAAAAAAAAAAAAAGAAAGCAGAATTGTTTGATTGTTGGAGACTGTTCCATCCTAATGAAACATTTTACGCATAGATCTATTCCCCATAATTCGGCTGCTCGGATAGACTTGTTTTTGGGTAATTTAAAATCAGTTCAGGCAATTTCCTTAATTACTATCGTTGAAAACACCTGGTCAGACCATGATATGGTAATTGCAGACCTGATGGAAAATAACAAGCGACCTCCTCAGATTTGGAAATTAGCAGATTATCTGCTAAAAAATAAAGCAAATGTAGAACATATAGAGAAGATAATTGATTTCTTCATTAAGGAGAATTCCTCTGAGGAGGTATCTAAAGAATGTCTATGGTCCTCGTGTAAAGCAGTCATAAGGGGTCATTGGATAAAACTTTCAAGTTTTCAAAATAGAAATGTAGATAAAACTTTGTCGGATTTTTATATCCAATTCTATAATCTCTCTAAAGCTAATAAACAAGTTTATTCTGAGGATAGAGCCTTGGCAATTAAATTCTACCAGGCAAAGATTAACGAACAGATTAAGATTAGGGTCGAACGGAATTTACACAAGTTAAATATTAAATATTATTATAAGAATAATCGGGTAGACTCAGTCTTAACAAATAAATTAAAGAAAAAGATGACAGATCATAAGATATCTAGGCTAAGAGAAGGGAATGATTATTTTTATAAGCCGGAGGAAATTGCCAATAGATTTAGAGCGTTTTATCAAAAACTTTATAATCTGAATAAATGTCCTGACCAGGATGTGCTGGACAGTTACTTGAAAAATTCTAATTTGTTTAAACTATCTAATGACCTGAGGGTGAAAATTAATGGAAATATATCTTCCCATGAAGTGGAATTGGCAATTGATAAACTTGTTAATAGTAAAGCTCCTGGACCGGACGGGTATACAAATTTGTTTTTTAAGGTTTTTAAGAGACAATTAATCCCGTTGTTATCTGACACCTTTAACAAACTGGCTACTAAAGGGAATGCATCTCAAGATTTATTAAGGGCTCATATCACTCCAATTTTGAAACAGGGTAAAAATCCAGAGGATGTGAGTAATTATCATCCTATTTCGCTGGTGAATGTGGATATGAAACTTTATGCCGCAATTTTAGCGGAACGTTTGAAAATAGTTTTGCCGTCACTCATACACAGGGACCAGATAGGTTTCATGCAGGGAAGACATTCCTCTAATAATACTCGTAGGGTTCTAGATATTATAGAATGGGCTAAAGTTGAGGGAACCCCCCTTCTGACCCTGTCGGTGGATGCAGAAAAGGCCTTCGACAGGGTCGGATGGGGGTATTTGAGTAAGACTTTGATACAGTTTGGTTTTGATGGATGGTTCCTGAATGCGGTGGGAGCTATATACTCAAACCCTTCTGCTCGTATAGTAGCCCGCGATTTATGTTCAGAGTGGTTTGATATTAAAAATGGGACGAGACAGGGGTGCCCTCTCTCACCTTTACTATATATCTTGTCAATTGAACCATTAGCAAATAATATTAGACAAAATCCTGGGATTAAAGGCATTGGAACTCAATCTGACGAATGGAAGATATGTTTATATGCTGATGATATTTTAATTTCTATTACGGACCCTATGGTTTCTCTCCCGTATTTAATGCAAGAATTTAAAAATTATAGTAGTGTTTCAAATTATAAATTGAACACGAATAAAACAATAGCCATGTCGATCAATATTCATAAAGATAATCAAAACGCTGATGGACTGCAGCTTCAGTCAACAACGAAGAAAGCAAGAGCTGCCGCACAACAAATGTATACTTAACCAAATGGTTAGATTTTTCCAGTATCACTGAAATACCAATGTACCTCTTGTTGCTAGGCTTATGCACAAGCCCCAATAATGCTTTCAAGCTGTAATGTCTGTCAAAGCAAAAATAAAGAATTATAAAAAAAAAAAAATATTCATAAAGATAATCTATTTTCTTTAAAGAGAGATTTTGATTTTAAATGGACAAAAAAAAGAGTTTATATATTTGGGGGTAACTATAACGGCAGAGATAAGTCGGACTATGGAATCCAATTTTTTGAAGTTGTTAAAAGAGACTAATATGCTGTTAAAGGAATGGAGAGTGCATGAAATTTCTTGGTGGGGAAGGATAAATACTATTAAAGCTTATATAATACCTAAATGGGCTTATTTATTTAGTATGCTCCCTCTCGCGATTTCGAGTTATTGGCTGAATATGTTGCAATCTAGTATCACAGCGTATATCTGGAGAGGGAAGAGACCAAGAATTAGTACTTACCATCTTTCAAGGAAGGCCTTCCAGGGGGGGTTGGGTTACTCCCTTGTTAATCAAATTTATCAGGCTAATATATTAGTTCATGCCAGTAAATTACAATATACCGATTCTTTAGACCAAGCCTGGTATAAAATCGAAGCAACCAGACTCGGTTTAGACAACCTTGAATTTCTCTTATGGAGAGAGGCAAGTCAGAACAGGCATTTGTGTGAAATGGGTTCTCACTGTCCCTCGTCCTTATTTCAGACTTTAAAAGAATGGACATCTATAAAAAATAAGTTGAATATTAACAGGAAAATATATGAGAATTTGAGTTTGAGGTCGTTGGAAAGTTTTATGCTAGAGATAAACTTGTCAAACTGGTACAAATATTTTAATTATAAGATAAAAGATCTCTACAAGGACCATCAACTAAAAAGTTTTGAAGTTTTGAAAAACTGGCTAGATTTACCCTCTAGAGAACTATTTAACTTCCTCCGTATTAAGAGCTATCTGAAAGATAATATATTGGTTTTAGAAGGCCGACTTGGAATAATTTTCAGGAAACTTTTTTCGGGGGATCCTGTTAAAAGGGTTTTCTCCATTGCAGTCGAATTAATAAAGATATTGGGGACTCCTCTCATTCCTAAAGCTTTAACTAAATGGGAAACCGAGTTAGCAATTTCTATTCCTTTTAATAACTGGTGTAAATCCCTCGTGAGGACCAAAAAAAATATTCACTGTTTGAATAATTTAGAGACCTTTATAAAGGTGTTGTATAGATGGTACTTGGTTCCTACCAGACTTGCTAAAATTTCTGTTACTAACCCATCTAATTGTTGGCGATGTTTTCACCTCGATGGATCGATGGTTCATATATGGTGGTCTTGCCATCGAATCAAATCTCTCTGGAAGTTTACATATGAATTTATAAATAAATTGGGAGGCTCTTATTTGGAATTTAAACCGGAAATTGCTTTACTCCATCTTTTGGACCCAGAGATAAAGGATAATTCTGATACTGTGATCATACACTGCTTAATGGCTACTAAAATTTTAATAGCTAGATTTTGGAAAAGTTTTGATATTCCCACGAGAGATCAACTTAAAGCACAACTTTTATTCCAAGTTGAGATGGAAATGGGACTAGTGTCTATGAGAGAATATTCTAATTTGAAGGCCTTGACGTTCTTTTCTAGCCTTGTCCAAAAAATTAAGAAGCTTTGAGGTAAATGATTAAGTGGGGTATCTTTACGACTCTCCCGCGGTTGGTAGAGTGTTCTCAAAGGGGGTTCCATTATAAGCTGCCTTTGCCTTATACTGTTTATTCTTTTCCTTAAAAGGGGGTTTTGGATCTGCAACACATACGACCAGTCTTGTCTTGTGTTTTGTCTTGTGTCTTTGTTTCTTTTTCTGTTTAACATATTTAAAAGGTTCTGTATAGGCCGTTTTTGGTCTAGGATAAGCAGCTGAGGGGATGTACGTATTCCCAGTTTATGTCTTAGACGGCTTATTGAGGAAATCTGTAATAGAAATTTGTCTTTGCATGTATGTATAATATGGAGGGGAATCCTTATTTTTTTTCTTCTGTAAGATTCCCTCCCATGGTTGTTGTCTTTGTCTATTAATACTTTCATGATAAACTGTAATAAAAAGAATTAAAGAAAAAAGAGAAAGTGGAAAAAAAAAAGAAAAAAAAAGAAATTATTGGATTTCCTAATGTTTATAATGGTATGAGAATGTTTTGTTTAGTTTTCTATGACATAGTTTAGAATTTTTTGGTTTAGAAAATATTATGTGCCTCTACACCTTGTTTCCCCAGGCCTTGTGATCCATGTGTGTTGTATTTATATCCTGTTTCCCGGGGGTTTATGGTCCATGTGTGTTGTATTTATATCCTGTTTCCCCGGGGTTTATGGTCCATGTATGTTGTATTTATATCCTGTTTCCCCGGGGTTTATGGTCCATGTGGGTTGTATTTATATCCTGTTTCCCTGGGTTTATGGTCCATGTGTGTTGTGTTTATATCCTGTTTCCCGGGGTTTATGGTCCATGTATGTTGTATTTATATCCTGTTTCCCTGGGTTTATGGTCCATGTGTGTTGTATTTATATCCTGTTTCCCGGGGTTTATGGTCCATGTGTGTTGTATTTATATCGTGTTTCCCGGGGTTTATGGTCCATGTTTGTTGTATTTATATCCTGTTTCCCGGGGTTTATGGTCCATGTGTGTTGTATTTATATCGTGTTTCCCGGGGTTTATGGTCCATGTGTGTTGTATTTATATCCTGTTTCCCGGGGTTTATGGTCCATGTGTGTTGTATTTATATCGTGTTTCCCGGGGTTTATGGTCCATGTGGGTTGTATTTATATCCTGTTTCCCGGGGTTTATGGTCCATGTGTGTTGTATTTATATCCTGTTTCCCGGGGTTTATGGTCCATGTTTGTTGTATTTATATCCTGTTTCCCAGGTAGACATTATGGTCCCTTTTTGTCCTGTTGGTTTCCCAGGGCCATGTTTGTCCCCTGTTGGTTTCCCAGGGTTCTGTCATGTTTGTCCCCCTGTTGGTTTCCCAGGGTAAGGTCATGTTTGTCCCTCTGTTGGTTTCCCAGGGTAAGGTCATGTTTGTCCAACTGTTTGTTTCCCTGGGTAAGGTCATGTTTGTCCCCCTGGTGGTTTCCCGGGGTTCGGTCATGTTTGTCCCACTGTTGGTTTCCCAGGGTAAGGTCATGTTTGTCCCCCTGTTGGTTTCCCAGGGTAAGGTCATGTTTGTCCCCCTGTTGGTTTCCCCGGGTAAGGTAATGCCAGGTTAGATGAGCAGCTTTCAGGTTTCCCAGGGAGAGCTGATTTTCGTCCCGCTGCTGTACCCCAGGGCCAGTTCATGTTCGGCCATGTGCCGTTGCTCGGCCTCGGGTTAGCTGATATTTGTCCCCGTTGTTCCCCTGGTTTGCAGTGTGTTTGTCCCGCTGTTGGTTTCCCAGGGTTAGATCATGTTCGTCCTTTCCCTGGCTGCGGTCTCGGGCTCATAGAATCGGAAGCTGCTGGGAAGCCGGTAATACAGTGACCGAATAGCGTGAGTGTGAGTGCGGCCTGGCTGAGTGTGAGTGGAGGTCGCTGTGTGCAGCCAGGCTGAGTGTGAGTGGAGGTCGCTGTGTGCAGCCAGGCTGAGTGTGAGTGGAGGTCGCTGTGTGTATATCCAGGCTGAGTGTGAGTGGAGGTCGCTGTGTGTATATCCAGGCTGAGTGTGAATGGAGGTCGCTGTGCAGCCAGGCTGAATATGAGTACACTCCCTGTTGTATTGCATGTACATTGATACTGAGTGTGAGTGGAGGTCGCTGTGTGTATATCCAGGCTGAGTGTGAGTGGAGGTCGCTGTGCAGCCAGGCTGAATATGAGTACACTCCCTGTTGTATTGCATGTACATTGATACTGAGTGTGAGTGGAGGTCGCTGTGTGCAGCCAGGCTGAGTGTGAGTGGAGGTCGCTGTGTGTATATCCAGGCTGAGTGTGAATACACTCCCTGTTGTATGCCATGTACATTGATACTGAGTGTGAGTGGAGGTCGCTGTGTGTATATCCAGGCTGAGTGTGAGTGGAGGTCGCTGTGTGCAGCCAGGCTGAGTGTGAGTGGAGGTCGCTGTGTGCAGCCAGGCTGAGTGTGAGTGGAGGTCGCTGTGTGTATATCCAGGCTGAGTGTGAATACACTCCCTGTTGTATGCCATGTACATTGATACTGAGTGTGAGTGGAGGTCGCTGTGTGTATATCCAGGCTGAGTGTGAGTGGAGGTCGCTGTGCAGCCAGGCTGAATATGAGTACACTCCCTGTTGTATTGCATGTACATTGATACTGAGTGTGAGTGGAGGTCGCTGTGTGTATATCCAGGCTGAGTGTGAATACACTCCCTGTTGTATGCCATGTACATTGATACTGAGTGTGAGTGGAGGTCGCTGTGTGTATATCCAGGCTGAGTGTGAGTGGAGGTCGCTGTGCAGCCAGGCTGAATATGAGTACACTCCCTGTTGTATTGCATGTACATTGATACTGAGTGTGAGTGGAGGTCGCTGTGTGTATATCCAGGCTGAGTGTGAATACACTCCCTGTTGTATGCCATGTACATTGATACTGAGTGTGAGTGTGAGGTCGCTGTGTGTATATCCAGGCTGAGTGTGAGTGGAGGTCGCTGTGTGCAGCCAGGCTGAGTGTGAGTGGAGGTCGCTGTGTGTATATCCAGGCTGAGTGTGAATACACTCCCTGCATGTACATGATACTGAGTGTGAGTGGAGGTCGCTGTGTGTATATCCAGGCTGAGTGTGAGTGGAGGTCGCTGTGCAGCCAGGCTGAATATGAGTACACTCCCTGTTGTATTGCATGTACATTGATACTGAGTGTGAGTGGAGGTCGCTGTGTGTATATCCAGGCTGAGTGTGAGTGGAGGTCGCTGTGCAGCCAGGCTGAATATGAGTACACTCCCTGTTGTATTGCATGTACATTGATACTGAGTGTGAGTGGAGGTCGCTGTGTGCAGCCAGGCTGAGTGTGAGTGGAGGTCGCTGTGTGTATATCCAGGCTGAGTGTGAATACACTCCCTGTTGTATGCCATGTACATTGATACTGAGTGTGAGTGGAGGTCGCTGTGTGCAGCCAGGCTGAGTGTGAGTGGAGGTCGCTGTGTGCAGCCAGGCTGAGTGTGAGTGGAGGTCGCTGTGTGCAGCCAGGCTGAGTGTGAGTGGAGGTCGCTGTGTGTATATCCAGGCTGAGTGTGAATACACTCCCTGTTGTATGCCATGTACATTGATACTGAGTGTGAGTGGAGGTCGCTGTGTGTATATCCAGGCTGAGTGTGAGTGGAGGTCGCTGTGCAGCCAGGCTGAATATGAGTACACTCCCTGTTGTATTGCATGTACATTGATACTGAGTGTGAGTGGAGGTCGCTGTGTGTATATCCAGGCTGAGTGTGAATACACTCCCTGTTGTATGCCATGTACATTGATACTGAGTGTGAGTGGAGGTCGCTGTGTGTATATCCAGGCTGAGTGTGAGTGGAGGTCGCTGTGTGCAGCCAGGCTGAGTGTGAGTGGAGGTCGCTGTGTGCAGCCAGGCTGAGTGTGAGTGGAGGTCGCTGTGTGTATATCCAGGCTGAGTGTGAATACACTCCCTGTTGTATGCCATGTACATTGATACTGAGTGTGAGTGAGGATCAGGATATACACCTAGGCTCAGAGTGATGGTCAGCAGTTACAGTGAGTGTGAATCAGCAGACACACTACATCAGCCATAGACAAACTTCAGCACTGCAGATGTTTTGGAGTGTACCTCCCATGATGCTTTGCCAGCATTATGGGGGATGTAGTCCACAACATCTGTAGTGCCAAAGTTTGCCTATCCCTGCACTACATTCTGATTACATGTCATGTACATATATATTGAGTGAGGAAGAGCACCCACACTACACTCAGACTTCATGCACTGTACCAAATAGACGTTATGCATTACATAGTGTGTAGTGAAATGGGTACTGAGGGATCGCCCTGCAGCCATTTGAGTTACTGTGCATTTTTCTTTACCCATCTGTAGAGTTATTCACTATAGTGAAATTAGTCAAGAATTCAAAGTTCATTTTTCATTTAAGGCCAAATAGTGGAACTTCTCAGAGTCAGGTCTGCTTCCAGTTCATCTACTTTGTCCTGACATTTAAAAAACAAGTGAATAACCCTGATGGTGTTAGTGGATCATGGCTCATCTTACTGGCAATAAGATGGTTGTGTAATGTCCATGCTCCTGCAATAAGTGTCCAGACTACACCCCATGTACACCCCTGCTTAACCAACAAATGTACAACAATAAATGTACAATGATATACTTTGCACGTTCGGAATCTTTATTAATAGCCACGTGTTCTCTGTGGCATGTACAATATTTCCTATAGATTTATATAGCACAGAGAAGGAGGATTTACTAATTTAACTATTGTTTCTGATCTCCCACTAGACAGCCACCATGCCTGGGTGTGAAAATATCCAGTTAGACTTTCCGCACTATAGCTCAGTGCTCCTGGACACCCTGAACAAACAGCGCCTGGAGGGGAAGTTTTGCGATCTGTCTGTCCATGTTCAAGGTCGGGTCTTTCGAGCACACAAGACAGTGCTGGCTGCATCTTCGCCATATTTTCATGATAAGCTTCTCCTGAATGACACCAGCTGCCTGGTTCTCCCAAATGTCATTCAGCCTGATGCCTTTGAGAATCTCTTACATCTGATCTATTCTGGAAGGCTGTGCCTGGATATGGAGTCTCTTCCTTCTCACCTACTTGTGGCTAGTGGTCTGCAGATGTGGCAAGTGGTAGATCGGTGTTCAGAGCTGTTAAAGGAAAGAGAGCCACGTTCACAACAGTCGTGGTCAAGTCGTGCCAGTGAGAGCCAGTCGCCCAGTAGCAGTTTCCAGCCTCCAAGAGATGATCCTGCTCCACCAGTACCACTATCACTGGGATGCTCAGACGATGAAGAAGTGATAAAGGTGCGTGTATCGGAGGAGGAAGAGGAAGAAGAGGAGGAGGATGACAGTAACAGTGGAAGAAATGTTTTAGAAGAAGTGATCCCTGCAGGTTGCTCCTACTCTATTCCTTCCTCATCCTCTCCAGGAAGCCCTAAAGTGTTCTACATTAAGCAAGAACGAGCTGAGGAGGACAACTTTTTAAAGGGGTTTGAGGTGACGGAAGTGCAGCCCGATTACTCTACAGAACTGAGTTTTGTTCTTCCTCCCACATCATCTTCCTCTGATGTTTCTCTCTGCCTGCCTCGGAAAATGCATGGCGTCTCTGATCCCCAATCCTACACTTTATCTAAACCTGTAGACCTGCATGGTAATGAGATCATTGCTCATGCGCTCCAAGCTCAGACTGTCCATGCTCCGGTCAAGCTTGTGGCTGCCCCCGATGGGAAGAAATTTGGATGCTTGTGCGGTAAACGCTTTGCTGTGAAGCCTAAACGTGACCGGCACATCATGTTGACATTCAGTCTGCGCCCATTTGGTTGCTCGGTCTGCAACAAGAAATTCAAATTGAAACATCATCTGACTGAGCACATGAAGACCCATGGAGGGAACCTTTATTCTTGTGAAGACTGTGGCCGCAAATTCAGGGTTGAGAGCTGCTTTCAGAAGCACAAGGAAGTTTGTAAAGGGCAGAGGTGGGCAGGGGCCTGTTGGACCTACAAATAAATATCATATTCTTGGACTCTTTACAAAGAACTGCTCAACAAGGGCCTTGTTATAAAGACACTAGTTTGGAGCATATGATAGCCATTCGTCTGGATGTTGCCAGAGACTAAATCATCTGAATTCTTTTACCAGGAGACTTTAATAGATACTCCTCACTTTTCCCTGGATTCGTTCTAAAGAGCTGTGTGTGGCAGTGCATGCCTGAGTCTGCCAAACAAGTAAATTGAGAGCTCTACAAATATTGTCTATCTTGCTGTGATACGTTTTGTCTACATACTATACAATGCTATGATATCATAAAGCTCTGCTGGTCTCTACTGTATTAGAACATGCAGGGATGATCATGGAACACGTGCTCTGCCTGAATTCTTTACCAGACAAGACTTGCACCTTGCTGGATTCATCCCCTTAAATTCTGTGGCCAGAGATTTGACTTTGGGCTAAATTTAGACTTGGATCAACAACACATGCCTTTCCCCCTAAATATTCTCATTTACCCCTTGATACGTTTTGCAGGTCTCTCAAGCACTAAATGGTTAAGTCCTACTGTTAAGAGTCAAAAGGGATATGGCAGCCTCTGTATATACACATTTACCTATATGCATCCTCTGTGTGCTGAACATAAACAGATGAGTAGTGGTTTGTTGGACAAGGAGTGATAGTAGCACTGCGTGTATCTGCAATAATGTAATCTGCTCTTTTTCTTATGTCAATGTTAGAGTGGAGACTGTCATTTTGGGTAGTTTATCATGTACCCGCTTGGTGGATTAGAGGGTTTGTGGTTTTGTTTTTATTTTTTTAAACTAAAAGTCCATCTCAGAACAGTATTTTAGTGATCGGTTTAAGAAAGGACAGTTTGTTTTATTTATTTAGTTTGTTGAATTCTGAAAAGGATTCTGTTAATTTTAAACTGTAATATAAATTTGTTGTTAACAAGTGATTAACCCTCTAAGGGCAAGAGGACGCAATGTGTGCGCAAAACTTAAAGAAAGCAGAGGATTTGAAAGGGTTTATACATTAAATAATGAATTGGGAACTGAATTGAAGAAGCAGGAAAAAAGTGAAGTTGAAAAATGATTCCTATTATCCATCAAGGAGGACCATAAATAACCCAGGATGTATAAAATAAAACAAATGGCATGGATATTTTAAACTGTAAATTTAAATGAATCTATTTGGGTTGAAAAGCTTAATTACCTTAGTTAATTTCGCCACACTTAAAGGAACTCTATAGCTTTAGAAATACAAATATATATTCTTATTGCTATAGTGTTCTACTCACTATTTATATGTTCGCTCACCGAATGAGTTTTGAGAAAGCGATTTACTGACCCTATATTCTGCAGCGGCCCTGCCTCCCTGATTTAAACATCAATCTTGATGATCTCAGGAGACTAGTGCACATCAAATCACCACACTGGCAATCATAGAGATGCATTTAATGTATGTCCTGAAAAGCATTCAAGATCTCAACCAGGAAGTCTCTTTAGTGGCTGTTTGCGTGACAGCCACTAGAGAAGGATTTAGACAGCAATGTAAACATTGCCTTTTCTCTGAAAAGGCAACGTTTACAATGCTCGGCCTGCATGGACAGACTATATGCCCCATTTCGCTTTAGTAATTCTGCTGAACGTAGTTGTCCCTTTTAAGTGTTTAAACCAGTTGATATCCAAGATGATGCAACTGTACATAGTCCATATAAATGTGTCTCAACCCGAGTGAATGCTCTGTTTGTATTGTGGTCAGTGCATCAGGTTATGGCGATAACGTTGAATGGATCTGGTCACCTAAAACACGTCATTCAGTTACTATAGACTTAATTTATATATTTGAATTCCAACAGGTTTCAGTGTAACTCCATGTAAAATTGTTCCGTGTTCGACAACATATTCTGCAGTGTTGTAACAGGTTATAACAGATTAATGACCCTGTCTGATATCTTTTAGGTGACTGCTTCGTGAATATGTTCTGTACGGTGCTTACAAACAGACTACAGAAGTTTGAATTTGAAACTTTTCAAACTATCATTTTCTCCGAAAGTGCACTGATTTGTTTTCAGTTTACTGTTAAGAGAACCTGTAACCTGCTCTAAGTTCACTGTACAAACACGAGACCTCTAATATTGAATGTGTTTGTGCATAGAGGCTCTGCGATCGCGTAGTACATTGCTCCTTTTGACATGTAATGTTGATCACAATAATAATTTTAACCTAATTGTGCTGATTGTTTTATTGGATTGGACGGTTTGTGGGCCATTCAGCTGCTTTTGACTCCTACTACCATAACTATTATTGGTCCAAGAATGTTAGGATTTATTGTGCTGGATGGCTCATTGCTTTTCTAAACCGGACTTCAAAAACAAGTTCTGGTACTCCACCAAATACATTCAAGCTAAATTAGCAAATATATAAATGGGCAAAGCTGCCATTTAAAAACTGAAATCTTTACAAAACTGACAGCGTCTCTGTAACTGTTTTTTGGTGTGGACTAAGGTGTGATGGTCAATTCATCAAATGTCTTTAATGCTCTCAGATTATAATGACGTAATAGAGCGCCACCCATCCCAATGAAACACAGAGCTCATTGCATCATTCACATTTATGATCTTTAATAGTCACCCTCCACGTGTCTAGCACTCATGTGATCAGTCTAAATGTGTAGAGTTCTGTTGTCTGGAATAAAGGTGTCAATTTACTGGTGTGTGTCCTTATTAAAGCGCTAGGTTCCTTGTGCGCACACTAAAGATATGACAAAATAGGTTTCTACAATAGTGGAAACAACTGTGTGTTACAGTTATTAAAGTGGACAGTGCAAAACCCATCATTCATCAATTTCCTGCTGAAGCTACACACATTGCCTCCAAATATTGGCACAGGGCTGTGATACAGTGGCACGCTCCCAAAATCAGTCTCCTATGCTAAAGTCCATATACAGTGACATAAGGTATGCCAATGTTAAAACCCTATAAACACAAACATTTCGGATGGTGTGCGCCATCTGGTGACTTTTTGTGAATATTACAGAGACTGCTGTAGGATTTTGTTTGAATGTTCTGTATAGTTAATACCATTTTGATATTCCTGATTACAGCAAGAAAATGCTCACGTTGTGTGTGGCTTTCAGCAGCTGAAGCCAAATATATTTTTGTACAAAGTCATGTCAGATACAAGGTATGAAAAGTCGCAGTTAAAGAAAGAAGGTATATTCATAAAAAATCTGGGTTTACAGTTATATAATAATTTGCAATTTTTCTCCCTGTGAGACTCAAAGCACTTTACAAATACACAAACAAAGACATAAAAGTTAGGAATACTGGAATGGAATATATTTTAAAATATGCTTTGTTTCAAAGATTACATTTTTGAAGATAGTTTTCCTGACTATACGGTTTAGAGCATAACTCCACTGAGGTTGTAATAAAATAATTGTAGGCATTCGTTAAGTTACCATTAGGTAAAAAAAAGAACTCCTCCCTAACTGAATTACACTCTCGAGGATATGTATTCATTTCAAAGCAAGCTTTTAATATAACAAAACTGTCCTATGTACAGCACCTCTTAAAAGGGCCACTCCGCTGCGTACAAAAACACTATCTAGTAGATATACTACGAAATAATGCGTGCACACAATACTCCCAGAAGACAATGCGAAATATGAAAATACAGTTTTGGATTATTAATGTAGTTTAGATTTCCAGCCTCTGTTTGTGTAGATCAGTGCGTTGATATTGGTTGGTGAGAGTAGAGCTGCAAATGGCAATCTCACCCTTTCATTATAGACCTTTTTAAAATTGGGTGTAATTAAGCAAATGTTAGGTCAGAAGTTTATGCACTTTTGTTCACTTTGTCTTATTTTATTTTTTTTAAATAAAGTTGGTTGTTTAAAAGAGGAGGAGGGGATCAGTGCACCTGCTGTGGGTGAAGACTCCGCTATCAAAAACAAGAAAAGCATGGACCTGGGCACATATTCATTGTACAAGAGGATCATGAGAAAAGTGTATTTGCATGAAATGCCCTATTTGTGCCTTTTCAGAAAGTTTTATTACAGTATAAATATTAAAATAAAAGATTTATATACACAAACACGATAAAAGCTACACTTATGTGCTGCATTCAAAAATATTCCACTGACGTGACATTTCCGCTGTTCATTCACCTCAGCAATTTCATTGTAAAATGAATATCACTTATTATATAGAGTGCCATCTTCTGGTGGTAATCAGGTACTGTAGCCGTAACTTGTATGAATGAATAGAAGCCTAGTTACCGGTTATTATTTTATTATTTATGTAGTGCTGTACAATGGTTTATTACAGCAATATGAGGTTATAAACATATTGATAACATTTGCTGCTCTCACCTGCCATTGGCACATTTTTGATGTACAGGAGGAAAGTTAATTCACACCAAATGCTCGGTCTGTGCTTTTTTTCAGTACATAGAACAGATGCTACAATATAAATTCACCAACAGAAATACATAATGTGTTGTTTTTTTTTTAAAACTATTCTACCAAATGATGCATTTTGAGGCCAATACAGATATAATTACTATTTGGTGTATATAAATATCCAATATGTGCCACAGCGCTGTAAAATAAAGTACCAAAGAGGAATAGACGATCCTGCACCGGAGTTTAAAACTTAGCATTTGCAGCTATTTATACTCACAGGCTTATTCACTAAAGGGTTAATTGGCACAAATATTCAAAGTTAATACAAAATGAATTCAGGCCAAAAATATCTAAATTGAAAACATAGCTGAGGTGGAGAATGTTTCCATTTTAACTATTCAGGCCTAAAATGTGAATCATTTTTAGATTGCTGACAATGTACACTTTAGGAAAATAACACTCATCAGCTTGAATTAGGAAAAAATAATAACAAAAAACAAAATCTACCAGCTTGATTAGAAAGCAATTAGAATTCGTGCCAAGGTTAAAACTTAACTTTTAATGTCAGTTAGTAAGACTGAATAAAGCAAGATGTTCAGTCCTATCTCAGCCACAATTTGGAGATGAGTGATGGACCAGTTCACAGAATCACTCGTTTGCAAGACCTAACCCCCTAAGTCTACTGTTAATTCTTATTGCAGATTGTTCTGAATATTGGAGACGCAACTCCAATAAGTTTGTAATAAATTAATTGTAGTTATTAATAAAGTTGCGGTTAGATAAAATATTACATGAACTCCTTTACTAATTCACATTGATCTCAAGGATACAGCTGTGCAATATGTACATAAAGGCAAATTTTAATGAGATAAAACTGCCCCATACACAGCAGACAAGTTTAATAAAAACCCGTCACTAGTGTAAATACTGGTTGTGAGCACTGCCTGCAGCTCCTGCTAGTCTGATGATGGGTCAGAGGAATGTGGTCCAACAGTGCCTCTGTATTAAAAACAGATGGCACAGGAATATAACATAGGTTTGTGATACAAAGGAGCAGCCAACGGGGATTTGTGTCCCCAGGTTTATCGACTCCATGACAAAATTAGACCATAGTGGCTAACCGCTTCAAATCTTCTTCCCTTTCAAGGTACACTCGGTGGAGATGTATTAATACCAGTGACATTGATGTTGAAATAATGTGTGTCAAGGACTACACAGGCATGACCCCTCATAAACAGTCTGTACATAGAGCAACCTGAAGATGAGTGTATAAGGCCTCCCCCTAGTGGCTACATGTGGTAGAGGTTACCAAGAATTAGAAATTTATCTCCTGCCCCCTTGCCAAGCCAATAACGTATGGCAACAGATTCAGCTTTTGTTCTCAGGAATAGTTGGTCAACAGTCATCTCAGGTTATGTCTAATTTTTTTTATTATGCACCTTTCATCTCATCATCTTATCCATGGCATTTTTCATGGCTTTATTTCTCAGCCCATATATGAATGGATTTAACATTGGAGTGAGCAATGTGTACCCTATTGTCGCTGCCCTCTCCCCCACCCCTGGGGAGCTGGAGCTCGGGCGAAAATAAACAGATACAATCGTGCCATAGAAAAGACAAACGGTGGTGAGGTGAGAGGAACACGTTGAGAAGGTTTTTCTTCGACCATCTCTGGAATGGAGCGAGATGAGAGCCAGTAATATCTTAATGTAGGACACAATGATACAAATAAAGGGGGTGCCCACAGACGCTGCCCCTTCTGTGAAGATGAGAATATAGTTTATAGTTGTATCCGAACCAGAGACAGACAGTACTTGGGAGATTTCACAGAAGAAATGGTTGACCAGACTTACAGCTGGAAAGTCTAGGGTGACCACCATGAGTGTGTGAAGTAAAGCATGTGCACAAGCACCGACCCAAGAAATAAACACCAGTGCAATGCATAAACTGTTCCTCATCACCCTGGTGTATTGCAGCGGGCTACAAATAGCCACATAACGATCGTATGCCATAACGGCCAGGAGGTTGTTCTCCAGGTTTCCAAAGGAGATGAAGCAGAACATCTGGACAAAGCAGGATAGGAAATAGATTGACCTCATGTTGGATATTAAGGAGTAAAGCAGGGTAGGGAGGGTGGTGGAGGTGAAGCACATGTCCACCAATGAGAGGTTGCTTAAAAAATAGTACATGGGTGAGTGGAGGCGTTTGTCGTACACAATACAGGACAGAATGATGAGATTCCCCAGGAGAGTCAGGAGGTACATAGTACAGAAAACCAGGAACAGATAGATACGTAATTGAGGGAAGTCTGAGAATCCTAACAACACATAACGAAGAGAAGAGTTTGCAAAGAGCATCTCTGAATAAACAGAAAGAAGTAAAAACAGTCAAAATTCTCATTCAGTCAAGTTTGTATACATGTGTAAATATTAGAAAATGCAGTATAATGCAGATGTTTCTGAGCAGTAAAAGGCAAAATGAAGGCTGCCATTATCTTATATTCGCTAATTCGAGCCGGTTCTGGTCACTGATCATGTTTTGAGATGTAACTGGATTCTGATTGGTTTAGAACACAGACAAGTCAATCAGAACACAGCTTTATTTAAATGTATCAAGTTGCTTTGTTGATGTGCCATCAGTGCTGATATCAAGCTATATCTACAATACTGGGCCTTTCACAGCAGTAAAATCCATGACGAGCAAGTCTTGCACATTTTATAGATATGTTTCAGTGACCCGTTTCATGATAATCTATTCATAAGAAAACCTCACTAGCCCATTCAGCTTGTTACCATTGTTCCAATTTAGAAATCAAACAGACCCTGACTCTCCATATTCTTTTAAATTCCATGGTACACAGGGTTATTCAATAAAGTGAGAATTGTTGGTAATTCATCGTGAATTTCAAATTGTAGACCAAGATACCCAAACAGAGCATAGCAGACTTGGATAATTTTCTGAATTGACCGTTTGTCTAAAATGTGAAATTCTCTTTGAATTCCCAACAATTCTCTCTTTTTCGTGAATAACCCTGCCAATAAGGGGCTTTGTATTTTAGTCAGCAGTAAAACTCACAAAGCATTAAAGGAGATTAGTTCGGAATATCCACCACATCAACATTTGGTTTTTGTTTCCACTTTCGTCAGCAAAACGTACCAGATTTATACCACGATCTTGGCTCCAGTTAGTGTGTGGATGATTCTGTATTTGTGGGCTGACTGAGCAGCTTGGGAGAGAGTTTTCTTTACCTGGCACTGATATAATAACCACAACCATATAGGAAGGAAACGTGATGCATAGTTACATAGTTACATAGCTGAAAAGAGACTTGCGTCCATCAAGTTCAGCCTACCTCATACTTGTTTTTTGCTGTTGATCCAAAAGAAGGCAAAAAAACCCAGTTTGAAGCACAATTTTGCAACAAGCTAGGAAAAAAATTCCTTCTTGACCCCAGAATGGCAGTCAGATTTATCCTTGGATCAAGCAGTTATTACCCTACATTGAAAGATTATATCCTTGAATGCATAGGAATAAGGAAGACTTTCACTCCCATGCTGCTTAGCCTTTAGAAAATTCAGAATCACATTTTAATATTGGAATTCAGATTGTCAAACGGTAATATATAAAAAAACAAACGAAAAGAAAAACCTTAACTTTTCTTACAGATTTTCTACCTTTTTGACAAAGGAGACTTTAATACAGGTCAGTGGCTCATTGCTAGAACTCAGATCACGAAGATGAGCAGTAGTTAGAAGCCTATAAATCCATTATCATATTAAGCTACGTTCTCTCCAGTTGGCTAAGGGCACTGTCCTGTGACCTAATTGACCTGCTCAGTTGTCCCATGGTATCACTGTGGCATGGTCTGCCTAATGTTCCAGCTAGAATCGACCACCGATATTAGCGCAAACTCCAAAATCTCCCTTTTGACCATGCTGACCCACTCTGTAAGCCAATAGTTACCCTGACACTTGAGCTTGGCAGTTTGATTCAGGAAAGGTACAATGCAGATTAAACCCGAAATAGGTCTCTGTTTTCCAAGAGAACAATTATCCTTTTCATTTATTTCATGCACAATCTATAGATTGCATTTCCCCAATATTTTCAGCTTTGTCTATTTTCCTGCACGTTTCTTAGTAATTCCTTTAATGTATTTGCAGATTTTGGTTAAAACCAGGGAATTATTCAAACAAAAATTGTGCTGCATAAGTCTATTGACAGAGTTGATAAATCTTCAATCTAATTACTCCCCACTGTGATACACAGTATTGGATTGGCGTACAAATTATCCACTTAATCCCTTCCCTCCATCTTTTATTATCTTCTTATAATTTTTACAAAATAAATAAAATGTTAAAAAAGAATTTAAAAAATATTTGCAAAATTTAGAAAGTGAAAGTGCGGTTTGGAAAACAATCTCTAACTCTGCTAAAAGTCACAGATTGGTTGTTTTAGCTTACATTCCCCAATTTAATTTTAAATTCAAATTCTGTGTTGGTGGTTACATTGGTATTTAAAATATTATGTTCTCACCTGACTGTATGCCGGCTGCCTGTGACAAGATAATGTCTAGAAACAAAAGTATTTAATCTTGACAAACCATGGTTATTTAAAATGGAAGAAGGGAAATCAAGTGAGGTTGATGTAAGCTTTCACAGAAGATCTAGAGGGGATTGGGCAGATGGAATCTGGAATGAATGATAAGAGGGAGCTCCAAATATTGAAAAACAGTTATTAATGGGAAGTTTGTAGGTAAAATGAAAACCAAGGCAGATCTGCAATACAGTGTAAATGAAACAAATAATAGTGGAACATTTTTTTCAAGTGCCGCAAGATTGTTCTGGGTGGAGGCTGTAGAGGAGCTTGGATGAATAGACAATCGATTTAAAGATAGCGAGTACTTATAACATGGGACATGGTACCAAGGGACCTCATCCCACAGGCCAAGATAAGATAATGAGCAGAGGGAACAAAGACAAAGAAAATTCTACCTGATTAAAACATTTCATTTTAAGTAGCGCTCCTGGTCTCAGGTGAGAGGCTTAATTAACCAAAAAAGTGACCTAATGGTAAACTTGCTAATCCTAATTAATGTAAATTTGTTTTCTAGAAATATATGGACCTGCTAATAAACTGGATTTCATTGGAGTTATTATTCTTGTGGTATCTCAACACATCACATGGGAGACATTTACGTTTTGAGAGTTTTAAAAGGGACATTCCATGGCCAAAATTAAAAATAAAATTAATTGTTTAGTAAATATACCTCCAAAGAAAACATGAATCCATTTCAATATATATTTTTTCCTTGTGGGTACATCTAAATAAAGCATGTAAAAATCTGCAGGTCTCTTGTCTGCTGCCTTTGCAAGCCCTCCTCTTCTAATCCCGCCCAGACTTTCTGTGAGTGTCCAATCACAGACTTCCCACTGCTGCTCAATTTAAAGTTTTTGCAAGGCAGGCGCTCTGAGCATTGCGGTCTATTGAGTTTATCTCCACTTAGCTAACCAAACCAGGAAGTAATAGGACAGCAAAGGTGGTGTAATAAGGTTAATTTGTAAACGTGCCTATTTCTATTGAAATCTGCACTCCTTATAAAATGGAAAAAAAATAGAAAAATAAATAAAATGAAGAGGACACACTGCACACACAAAGCATTTCAACAAGCTAAAGTGCTGGAGTGACCTTTTAAAGGGTTAGTCCAGCCATCGCCACTTTTGCTTTTAGAAGTGGTCATGGCGCAGGCAAACGCTATGTACAGAGACTTGTCCTGACTGTGCCCTACATGATATTTTAGACTCTGCTTTTTATTTTTATTTTCTCCCCCCTCTCCCTCCCTCTTTCCTACTCACACTCCATTCCTCCGCTTTGTGATGCCTTGAGAGCAGGAGGTGGGAGGGCTTTAGCGGCAACACTCAGCACATCTTGCCACTCATAAATGCGAGAATCACACACATGTGCAGCAGAGTGTTTACTGCTTCTGACAGAGGACCATAGAATTCAAAAAGACAAATCTGACTGGCACATTTGCAGGGTTCGCCACACAAACATCCAAGGGACAACAATGCTTCTCTTGGATTGGACCTTGTAGAGGAAACTGGTAATGCTGAGTGATTATGTAGAATGTGGACAAAGGATCGGAGAGAACTTGTCCCGTCGTTGGATTCAAGCAAAGTTTTAAGCTTGTTTCCAATTGTTTTTTTGGGGGGATTGAAGGGGAACAAGTGAAAAGTGCATTATTAACGAAAATATAAAGTTTAAATACAGGTTGGAGTAACCATTTAATGTAGCATCGTTGACATGACAATGCCATGATCTGTTAATTATTTTAAAAAAACAGACTTATTTTAAACACACATTGTGGTTTTATTTATTTCTGTGGAGGTTTGAGATTCACAAACATCCACAATGAGATACTTTGAGCTCTTTGACATGAGAGGCCACAATATTGCTACAAAGGGTGTGGGGTCTCAATAAGAAAGGTCTGCACTAAAGCAATTATTTATTTACTTATAAAATATTTTATCAGGAAGGATACATTGATATTTCTCTCGTTTTCAAGTATTCCTCAGTGATGTCTGGTGATCCGACAACCAATGTGCAGATGGAAAACATCTTTCACTTCAAATTTGGACACATTTTGCAAGTCTGTTTGCCACCCATCATGTTATTACATGGAACAGAGGATTAGAAGGATCGTTTTCAGTTACGGACTATGCCAAGCTAATCAGTCATGCAGATACTTTGTTTCAATGTTACACCAAATCTGTTTGATTCTTATACATTCTTCTTATATCATCTCACATGTCATCAATCTCAACTCAAGCAATATAGTGCGAGTTTTCTGTAAGACTTTATTAATATTATGACAAAGAAAATGGGTTACGATATTTTAAAGAAATCTCCCTTCCAGTGTATTAGTTTAGCAATAATTCTGACATTCTAATATAAAAAAGGAAAAGGAACACTATAGTCACCTAAATTACTTTACTAAATAAAGCAGTTTTAGTGTATAGATCATTCCCCTCAATTTCACTGCTCAATTCACTGTCATTTAGGAGTTAAATCACTTTGTTTCTGTTTGTGCAGCCCTAGCCTCTTAACAGAGGCTCAGGCGGCTGAGTATTTAAAGGGCCGGCCCGTCGCTGGTTTCACTTTCAAACAGATGTAATTTACCTTAAATAATTGTATCTCAATATCTAAATTGAACTTTAATCACATACAGGAGGCTCTTGCAGGGTCTAGCAAGCTATTAACATAAAAATCTTAATTAAACAGAACTTGCAATAAAGAAAGCCTAAATAGGGCTCTCTTTACAGGAAGTGTTTATGGAAGGCTGTGCAAGTCACATGCAGGGAGGTGTGACTAGGGTTCATAAACAAAGGGATTTAACTCCTAAATGGCAGAGGATTGAGCAGTGAGGCTGCAGGGGCATGTTCTATACACCAAAACTGCTTCATTAAGCTAAAAGTTGTTCAGGTGACTATAGTGTCCCTTTAAAGCGGCACTGTCATACCGAACTTACCTTTCTCCTATTGTTTCCACTTCTCTTCCTCTCAGAATCTGTTCTTCTTTAATTCTGATCTAGTTTTCTTTAAAACACAGTGCAAAGTAGGGACTATTTTGTCTTCTGTATTTATGTACTTGTGTTTTTCCTACGATTGACTTTCTCTGACCCAAGGAGAGGCTTTTTCCTGTGCCAAAGAAAGTACTCACCTTTCTGTGTGACAGTGCCCCTTTAAGTGCACTGTAGTGGTTATGGTCCAGTGCCTGGCACCCTGCAACGTTAGTAGTCAAACAGTTTGACAAATTACTTGGGGTCTGACGGTCACTAGTCACCTCCTCTGTGAAAGCTGGAAAGCTCTCAGCATTGAGGTTAGGCCGGCAGTGCAGGGCTTAGCTCATTGGCTGACATATGTCAGTTCATGACGTCAGCAAATGCGATGGCCCTGCCTGGCAGGGGTAATAATAAAATAGTTTTTTTTTTAAATTTATTTATTTATTTTTTTTAAAACAGAAGCTCCTACATGGAGCTAACAATTCTCAATGACTGAAGTGACAGGTTCATCTTTTTAACATACATAAACTGTGGGGGGGGACAATGAGAGCATCAATTTGTGCAAAAACATGGCTCTAAAACTTTATGAATCTTATTTAAAGGGACACTGTAGGTATCCAGACCACTTGAACTCATTGAAGTGGTCTGGGTGCTGTGTGCCTTTTGAACCTAGTGCTGCCATGTCCTCTGCATGAGGACCTACAGCGTCAGATTTTTCCCAATAGGAAAGCTTTGATTCAATGCTTTCCTATGGGGAGGTTTAATACGCTCGTGGCATTTGAAGCGCATGCGCATTAGACCACGCTTGTCGCGGGACGGAGGGGGGCTGAGCTTGGGAGCAGGTAAGTAAATAAATGGTTTTTAACCCTTTATTTACCAGGGGGTGCGAGGGAGGGGGGGATCGGTAGTGCCAGGAATGCAGTTTTGTATTCCTGGCACTACAGTATCCCTTTAATAATTGTAAATACAATCTGTATTTTACTGCAACTTGCACTGCAATGTATATTAAACCATTAAATTAACAATATATATGTGTTATGATGCAGGTGTAATTCTTTTAAAAACAATATTTATTTTCTGTACCAGCAAATCCTGACCCAATTTCCTTCCGATGACTGTACCAGGGCCGTCTATAATATGACTAGGACCAAAGCATTTTCTTGGGCCCCCTAGGCCCTGCCCCTTCCCACCCAACCCCCAATCACACTGACAGACCTACTGACACATACAGATATATTAAAACATTTGCAGATACATACCGACACACACTGACACACAAATATATACTGGCAGACATATTGACACACATTCAGACATACTGACACAGACACATACATACACATACACTGACAGATATACTGAAACACACACAGACACATACACTGACAGACTTATTGACACACACACAGACAGACATACTGACAGACACACACAGACACAGAGACATACACACACACAGACATACTGACAGACACACACAGACACAGAGACATACACACACACAGACATACTGACAGACACACACACACACAGAGACATACACACACACAGACATACTGACATACACTCAGACATACTGACATACACACACAAAACATACTGACACACATACACACAGACATACTGACACAGGGCCGTCTTTAGCGCGGGGTAAACAGGGCAGCTGCCCCATGGGCCACACGATTTGCGCAGCACCCATGTCCCCGGCGGTTCGGCTGCACAGAGCCGCACCGGCCTGCCAACTAAGGAGGCCCCCGGGTGGCCCATGCACTAAGCGCCACCCGGTTAACATGTATCAGCAGGGGCCCAGTCGGGCGCTGTGACGCTTAAATAGCGCGACTGGGCCCCTTCCTGTACCGGCTGGGAGGAAGTGAGTGCAGCGCGTCACTTCCTCCCACCAGAGATAATAGCCGCGCAGGAGGAGGAAGGCAGGGAGGAGGGGAGATCCTGAGGATATCTCCCAACTGCCTCAGCCTGCCACTGGACCCCAGGGAACCACCATCCATAAAAAGGTAAGGACCTGGAGGGTGGCTAAATGTATGTCTGTGTCTGTGTGTGTATGCCGGGTACATGGGGGTTGCACAAATCGCGGGGCCCACGGGGCAGCTGCTCTGGGGACCCCCAGGAGCAACTTGGCCCGGGGCAGCTGCCCAGTTTGCCCCACGCTAAAGACGGTCCTGGACTGCACCTCTCTTGTTTCACACTGGGAGCAGAACCAGAATGCTATGGCCAAAATCCAGTGTTCTGGTCCTTCATTACTTCTGTTACTACATTTCACGCTGCATAATCCCTGCTCCTACAACTGTGGAAATAAATCTGGGGAATCCACCCTTCAGTCAGGGTTAAGGAGGTGAATTATATGGATGCACGTTCATCCACATACAATGCCCGCACTGAAAGTTACACTACAACTTGGCTTGATTTTCTGTCGGTCTCTCTGGCCCACTGGTGGCAGATTGGACTTGACCCACCAGTAATTTCCCCTAATTGATGGCCCATTGCTGAATATTAAGGATCTGGCCCCAGCTGAAGATATCTTAACATACTTCCACATACTTAGCATCCACCATTAGGTAAATCTGTTCCCCCACGTTTCTCACTCCCTTTACCTTTCTTTTTACTCCCACATGCCCTCTTACCACTAGCCTTGGCCACACCGATAGAGACCGGTCCTGTGGATCCATCCCATGATAGCGCACAATAATTAATATATTCACATTTACAATAAACTCTCAATTTTAATTGGATTTCTGGACATGCAATACTCCGGGATAAACATATTAACTGCTACTCATAATGTAAGACTGTTAATTTAATTTGTTGGGGTTTAATGTTATTATTCTTTTTTGCTATCTCACATTAATAAATTAGGTTTGTCAAACAAGGTATGGGAGTAAGATTTGTAGTATTTATTAGATAAGTCATCCAGATCTGGGGGTTTATTTATTTAAAGAGTTTGAATCATTGGAAACTTTAACCCACTTGTTAGCTGGATATTACCTCATCCAAGATACTAATTTGGTACATAATTCAATAGATTTATAGTAAGTTGGGGGTTGCCAGATAGTCCTCAATTTCTCCTTCCAATTATATGTTTGCATCTTGAAGAAGGTCATAAAGAGTTCCAAAGACTATGAAATCCACCTAGAATAGCAAATGTAGCAGATGAGTTGGTATCACTAAATAATTAGAACGCGGATGTTCTAAACCTGGAATTTCACAGCCTGCAGATTTTGAACAACCAATATATTACTCCTCTCTGCTCATTTCTCTCCATGACAGCCACAATGCAGTACTTTCTTTGCTGCGGTTTTCACCTCTTTATTTCTTAGAGAATATATAAAAGGATTCAGCATGGGAGTGATGACACTGTACACTATGCTGACCACTCGATCGTACATTGGGGAGTAGAGGTTGCTTGGACGAAAGTACATGAAGATAATTGAACTGTAGAAGAGAATGACAACTGTGAGATGAGAAGAACAAGTGGAGAAGGTTTTCCTCCTTCCTTGAGATGAATTCAGCTTTAGCACAGCTCTGATGATCAGGACATAAGAGCCCACGATGAAGAGCATGGGACCCATAACAATGAGGGATCCTTCAATAAACACAACCATCTGCTGAGTATATGTGTCTGTGCAGGACAGCATAAGCATGGCTGGAACATCACAGAAGAAATGATGGACATTCCAGTCACAATATGGAACAATGGACGTCATGACCGTGAACAAAACAGAGTGGAGGCTGACGATAATCCACGATATGGTTACTAGACAAATGCATGTCTTTTTACTCATGATTGCAGAGTAGTGCAGTGGCTGGCAGACTGCAGCATACCGGTCTAGTGCCATGATCGCAAGTACAAAGCTGTCCATGTTTCCAACCATGTGGAACAAAAAAAGCTGAAGGAAGCACCCAACGTAAGAGATGGTGTTGTTTCCAGACAAGAATCCACAGAGTGCCCGAGGAATGGTGAGAGACGTCAGGCAGATATCAACTAGAGAGAGACTTCCAAGCAGGATGTACATGGGAGTATGGAGCTGAGGTTGAGTTAAGATGAGTAATGAGATCAAAAAGTTTCCAACAACACAAAGAGTATAGGCACACAGAAAGAAAGAGAAGAGAGGGAGGCGGAGGTAAGGCTTCTCAGAAAGACCGAGAAGAGTAAAGAAGCCTGGTGTATGGTTCTTAAATTCCATGTCCGATGCTACTTATTGGTTGGAAACAATGAATGGGATTTTCAGATTACAGCATGACATTTTTTTGGAGGATCTAAAAAGATGAAAAGGCACATTGTGCTTCTCCAGGACTTCATCATTAATATGTTGCCAGATGAATATAAGACAGAAATAGAGATCCAAATGATATGGCACAGATAGTCTAAAAGAAGAGCTGGAACACTAGTGACACTGTTTCTGGATTTCATATTCAAAGCTGGAGATTATGCAACCAAAATCTGATAGAACATTTTCCAACTGGTTAAATATTGTGATTGATGGAATCTACAGAACTTTCCTGGATGTTAAAGACGAACAAGAATGAGCGTGGTTATACAATGTGGTCTTTCTGTGAGATCGAGAGTAGTAGGATTAATGAGGCTGAGAGGTTTATGGCCCATATTGTCTATCATAACACCACCAAATCCAGTCCTTGAGCTGTGCCAGGGTAATTTCCCCTGTAGACTGGCATAATGGAGAATTCTTTAAAAAAAAAAAAATGACAATGGTTGGGTTATACAGACATACATACAAAAGAAAACCAAAAACAATGGAAATTCCCATTAAAGATGACAATTACAAATTATATGAAAAGAAGACAACATGTAAAAAAGCGTATTCGTTTTGAAGAATTCCTGGTCTCTGCTCCATGAGATATTGGTAAAGATATGGATTACATAAAAGAAGGATAATGTTACCTCTGTACATGTCAGGAATGTGACCATAATATGGAACTTTGTAAGTTTAGCAGACGATTGCCAAGATGGTAGAGCAATCCTCATTTACTTCTACACTACCCTGCTTCTTTCTTTTTTTGACATTCCTTATTAATATGAAGTTTTCAATAATAAAGACAATGATTTTTTAAAAGGATAACGAATAGGTAGTAAATGAACATTGAAACAACTAGTCTCAATAAAGCCATATTCAGGATAGCGACATAGTGTCAAATTTGTCTCACATAGAATATACATTATGTATTGCATCAAATATCTATTGCACCAAATACAATGTATGCAGATCACATCTCCTCATCAAAAAACACGCTTTGACTCTACAACCGTTAAGAGGTGCCTCATCCGTCTCAACGGTACAACGTGTGATCATTACTTTGCTCAAGATGAACGAGAGCCAGCGGAAAATGTAGGGGCCCTGCTTATTTGTCTGATTATTTTATGGGTAGGGGTTAGTTATAGATCAATTTAACAAAGCCACCTCATCCCAAGTAGAATTAATGAGTTTTAAAGAAATAATGTTCTTGCAGTATTCGGTTATTTAGAATGTGTCCTGCTAGGAATGTTTTGTGTTTTTTTTGTTTTTTTTAAATTTCTTTGCAGTGCATGTAATAATTACAAACATGCTATGATACATTATTGAAATATAGTAAATTGAGTAGGCTACATATGCATGCGAATGTAAAAGCGATGTTTAGAACTGAAGGCGTGTGGTCTAGGCAGTTTATGTAGTTTAACAGGCTGGAACATGTGGTAGCGGGGTGCGTGAGAGAGTTAGTATACAAGAGATGAGTGGTGAGATTAGGCTATATTACATTTGTGCATGGGTTGATTGCGGTATGTTAGTGTGTTCCGAGACAGTATGATTAGCTGTGTTCATGTCAATAGGCACCAGTGCAGTAAACACAAATTTCCCAGAAGAATACTAAAACTTCATCCGATATATACAGAGGCTATGAGTGGCTAAGATGATTAACTCATCTGCAGTTGCTAGTGTCCAGTTTAGCCGAATTAACATTAAGCTTCGCTGTTCAAGTCGGATAGAGCGCCATGGCCCCTTGGTATCATCAGGGTTGCAGAGGAAGTCAAATGGGCAGGCAATATAATAAACAGTTCAGGCAAGGACTGGGGCAGATTGGTCAGTGTAATAAAAGTATGGTAGTCACTGAAATGCCCAGGTAGAACCTTGTTAGAAGTTCACCCCATCCCCTGTCTTGGCACTTGATCTCCTTGGTGTGTGAAAGTCTCATAGCGGGTGTTGGACGGATCATGGTGTGTGGCGACCTTCAGGTGGACCTGTTGCTTCATCGGTTTCGCTGATGTAGGTGCCGCTTTAAGAACTGTTGGCGGTCTCCACCGCTTGTCAGGTATGAGGTGTGGAGAAGAGTGCACCCGCTGGTCAGCTCTGCGTCTGGACTCTGTAGGAGGCCTCCGCCTCCACTCCCCACTTGTGTTGCACTAGCCATCTGCCCGGGCTGTGGCGGTTTGTCATCATTCCGTGGAGGGCTTGTCGCAGCTGTGGGTCTTGTCAGGCTCTGTGTGGTGTGCTCCCAGTATTGCTCCCAGAAGCTCTCAAATGCCAGAGCTATGGGATCTCTGGGGTCTGGGATGAACATGGCCTCATGTCGGTGGCCATCTTGGCCTGTTCCGAGCTGCCCTCCTGCTCCGCATGTACCTTTGGGCTCGGTTGTGGTGAGGAGGACCGGGATGACCCCTGCCGGTGCATGGGGGAGGGTGGGAGCAAGCTTGGGTCCCGCCTTCGATGCGAGAGCATGGAGAGCGGCAGTCTCCCCCCGCCTCGACCTTCCGCAGGCTTCGCTTGTGATGTCGCCAGGCTGTGGGTAAGTGATCCGCTGTGGAGTCTTGTGCTTCAGAGGCATGTTAGGGCTGAAACAGCGGGTATCGTAAGGGTCTCGGCCCGGATCTCGGGCAGCATGCGACCAGTCGGCTCAGTAGTCAGGCTCCGCCCCCCCCTGCTAGGAATGTTAAATCAATGGCTTCGCTGTATATGACTCACTAGGCTCGTGTTTATCTCATGGCTTGTGTGAAGAAAGAAAAAAAAATGAAACCAAATAAAACTCCAGTGCACCTGTTCTAAAGAAAGAGATCATGGCACTAGAAAAAGTCCAGACACGGGCTCCAAAATTGATAAAAGGAATGGAGCATTTTAGTTATGAAGAAAGGTTAAAAAAATTAAATCTGTTTAGTTTGGAAAATGGCGCCTGAGAGGGGATATGATAACTTTATACAAATATATTCGGGGCCAGTACAAACCTTTATCTGGAAATCTATTCATAAACAGGGATATACATAGGACACGAGGTCACATTTAGGCTGGAAGAAAGGAGATTTCATCTAAGGCAAAGAAAAGGTTTTTTTACAGTAAGAGCAATAAGGATATGGAAGTATCTGCCTGAAGAGGTGGTTTTGTCAGAGTTACTACAGAGGTTTAAACTGCAATTGGATAAATACTTACAAAAACATAACATACAGGGATATAATTTCTAATTAGTGGGGTAATAGCTGCTTGATCCAAGGAGACATCTGACTGCTATTTTGGGGTCAATAAGGAATTTTTTCCTAGTTTGTGGCAAAATTGGAAGTGCTTCAGACTAGGTTTTTTGCAACAGCAACAACATATGTGAGGAAATCTGAACTTGATGGACACAAGTCTCTTTTCAGCTATATACCTATGTAACTTACCCGAATCCAACGCCGATGTCCCTAGGCGCTGGGTCTGGCTCCGCCCACGCTCCTCCCCTGCCGAAGTCAGCCGGCGGAGGAGACCTAATGCGCATGGCGTGGCAATGGCTGCACTCGCATTAGGATTTCCTATAGGAGAGAATTACACAATGCTTTACCTATGGGGACAAATCTGATGCTGGACTTCCTCATGCTCTGCACGAGGACTTCCAGTGTCAGATAACGGACTAAAGGTTCGTTTCAATTCAGGAAGTCACTCTAGTGGCTGTCTGTTAGACAGCCACTAGAGGTGGAGTTAACCCACAGAGGTAATCATTGCAGTTTCCCAGAAACTGCAATAATTACTATTGCAGGGTTAAGGGACATCGGACTTTGCACCCCGACCACTTCAAAAAACTGAAGTGGTCTGGGTGCCTACAGTGTCCCTTTAAACTTGTACACAGAATTCCCTTAATATATATATATATTTTTTATTTTTATTTTTTTTATTATATATTTAATGTTTTAAAAAATTTTGTTATTCTCTCGGTATCTAAACTATTTATTCAACTTTTATTTCAGTCTAACCAGTTAACCAATGAAATATACAGTTGTAATCAAAACTATTCAACCCCCATTGAAAATCTAATTTATTGTCTATTTACAGACTTCCTGCTGTTTGCAGTGAGCAAATTATTATTATTATTATTATTATGATATTTATATAGCGCCATCAAATTCCACAGTGCTTTACAGTGGGTGGACGAACAGACATGTAGTTGTAACCAGACAAGTTGGACACACAGGTACAGAGGGGTTGAGGGCCCTGCTCAATGAGCTTACATGCTAGAGGGAGTGGGGTAAAATGACACAATAAGGTAAGGATAGAATTAGACTAGTGACAGTTGCAGAAGAGGAATCAGTCAGGAGCTATTAACAGTTTAATTGATGCGCTTTTATGAAGAAGTGGGTTTTTAACGATTTTTTGAAGGAGTGGAGACTGGGTGAGCATCTAACGGAGGAGGGAAGAGAGTTCCATAAGAACTGTGCAGCCCTCGAGAAATCTTGATTTCAAATCAAACAAAAGCAATTGAAATAGCTTAAATGAATGTTTCAAGTGATTTCCCCAAATTCAACTGAAAAAGCAAATTATAATGACTTCTCCAGTCTCAAAATTATTTAACCCCCTGAATAGAATGCATCACAACAGCACAAATATGTAATACAGGTGTTGTCTCAAGTACACATGATGCAACTAATCAAGGGTCTTAATTAGTTGCACCAGGTGTGCTTGAAATACCTGAACTGGCTAGGGGTTTGTTGTGTCACGTTTGTCTGCATGTTACAAAGATGGCTAAGTCAAAAGAATGATCAACAAAGTTAGAGAAGAGATCATGATTACCCTTCACAAACAAGGAACAGGCTACAAAAAGATAACAAAGGCACTGAATGTTCCTAGAGACACCGTTGGAAGCATAGTTCACAAGTTCAAAGTTGAAGGAACAGTGGCTACACTACCTGGACTATCAATGGCTGCAGCCTGATTTTTTACAAAGCAGGTTGTGAAAAACCCTCTAGTGACTGCAAAAAAACACCAGAAGACTTGGTGGCAATAGTCACTGAGGTTTCAGTGAACACAGTAAGGCACGTACTAAACGCAGAAGGTTTCCATGCCAGAACTCCGAGATGTACACCACTACTGACCTAAAAGCACAGGAAAAGTCAGTTCCAATATGCTCAAAATCATAATAATAAGCCACAGAAGATTTTGGATTCTGTTCAGTGGAGAGATTAATCAAAACTGGAAATCTTCATCTCAATGGATCGGCAGTATGTCTGGAGGAAGAAGAATGAAGCATACAGTGAAAAGAATAATGACTATAGGTAAGGATGGTGGTGGCTTGGTGATGCTCTGGGGCTGCTTTGCATCCCATGGCACTGGAGACCTGCAGCATGTGGAAGGCAAGATGGATTCATTGAAGTATGAGGAAATCGTAGGAGAAAACGTCATGCCGTCTGTTAATAAGCTGAAGCTTGGGCGTCATTGGACCTTCCATCAAGACAGTGATTCCAAGCATACCTCATATTCCACCAAGGCTTGGTTGCAGAAGTCGTCCTGTTAAATTCTACACTAGCCATCACAATCACCTGATTTAAACCTCATAGAAAATCTCTGGTGGGATTTGAAGAAGAATATTGAAGAATAGTGAACAGGAGACTATAGCTCATGAGCAACGGGCTAAGATTCCTCAGGAATGCTGCCAGAATCTGGTGTCTGGCTATTCATCTCGTTTTCAGCAGGTCATAGCAGCAAAAGGGCCCTCTATGAAGTACTAAAGATACTTACCATGAAGGGGTTGGATAATTTGGAGACTGGAGAAGTCATTATAAGAAGCATTTTCAGTTGTAATTGGGGGAACCACTTGAAGCATTTGTTGTGTTGAGCTTTTTAATTACCTTTGTTTGGTTTGTTCATTGCAAACAGCTGAAAGTCTTTACATTTTGACAATAAACCTGATTTTCAATGGGGGCGGAATTATTTTGATTACATCCATAATCTATCTAATCAGTCTGCCTAGTTTACATGATCCTATCCAGCTAGATAGCTAGAACCCACAGACCTATAGTTTGCACGTTATTTGTAGACAACATGGCTAATAATAAAAAAAAAAAAATATTTAAAAATAAATATATATATATATGTTTTTGTTTTTTTAGAAGACAGACATATGGAGATTACTATTGTGAATTTTAAAAATAAAATCAGATCATCTTAAATCTGTACAATTGTATTTTTTGAAAATATTGATAAAAACAAAAGCTAAGAAAAACAAAAAACAGAACTCAGAACCATGACATGTCCATATATAATATTTAAAATAAAGGGTGTCACAACTTCCATTGTCATTAATGTAGGTCTGTTTCAGAGTGGTGTCCTTTGGATGTATGTAGAAGGGAGGGCTCCATAGCTAGGGTCATTGTATTGTACGGAATGGAGTCCTTTCCCCGTAACAATATCACATCAGTTAGAACTTCCCTTCGCTGTGTGCCCATCAGAGCTAGGACTACGTGTATAAACTGGAAGGGTAACTTGCAAAGTCACTTGCCCCAACAAAATTTAGTGAAGTCATTCATCTTGTTGTATTATGGAAATAAGCAAATAGTTATACATTTAAAAAAAAAAAAACCCACACCTTTGTTTACAAAACAATTAAGTAATAGTAACCACTTGGAAGAAACCGGCTACATTTATATGGTTATTCTCACTAACGGGAGAATCAAATTTAAGCCCCGAGTGGCTTAGCTGAAATCATAGACAGAGAATTTGGCTATTTTGACCTTAAGTTTGAAATTCTTTTTTTAATTTTCAGTTTAGTGAATAACTTTAGAAGATTGAGAAAAAACAAACAGATACCTTGCTCTCAGTTATAATAATGAGATTTGATGACTCTTATTGGCAGGGGATATAGTTAATGATGTAAAGTTATGTCTATTTTTTTATATGTATATGAATATTAATATATAAATTATTCAATAAAGAATATTGAAACAAAAAAATAATAATAAAAGAAAATAAAGAGATGAGGTGCTATCACATGTCAAAGATGTGAGAGGGCCGAATACTGAAAGGTTAGTACATACCTACATGGAAAGAGCTACCAGGAAGCCTGTCCAACCCTTCTGAACAGTTACATCCTTGCAAGAGTTTATAAGCCATTGAAAACCCCAGAGAAACCCACATTTCCCAGTCAGTCCAATTATAAACCACAAGGCTCAGCTGTGCTAGGAATAGATCAGAGCAGAGATGGAATATTAATGCAACTAATAGAATGTCCAAAGAGTCAAACCATGTGCCTGGGATAAAAGGGGGGTAAAATTCCAATGAAAAGCTGTGCTGTGGATATAATGGAATCAAATCACTAAATGGATATAATGGAATCAAATCATTAAATGGATATAATGGAATCAAATCATTAAACGGATATAATGGAATCAAATCATTAAACGGATATAATGGAACCAAATCATTAAACGGATATAATGGAACCAAATCATTAAATGGATATAATGGAATCAAATCATTAAATGGATATAATGGAATCAAATCACTAAATGGATATAATGGAACCAAATCATTAAATGGATATAATGGAATCAAATCATTAAATGGATATAATGGAACCAAATCATTAAACGGATATAATGGAATTAAATCATTAAATGGATATAATGGAATCAAATCATTAAACGGATATAATGGAATCAAATCACTAAATGGATATAATGGAACCAAATCATTAAATGGATATAATGGAATCAAATCATTAAATGGATATAATGGAACCAAATCATTAAATGGATATAATGGAACCAAATCATTAAATGGATATAATGGAATCAAATCATTAAATGGATATAATGGAACCAAATCATTAAATGGATATAATGGAACCAAATCACTAAATGGATATAATGCAATCAAATCATTAAATGGATATAATGGAATCAAATCATTAAATGGATATAATGGAATCAAATCATTAAATGGATATAATGGAATCAAATCATTCAATGGATATAATGGAACCAAATCATTAAATGGATATAATGGAATCAAATCATTAAATGGATATAATGGAATCAAATCATTAAATGGATATAATGGAATCAAATCATTAAATGGATATAATGGAATCAAATCACTAAATGGATATAATGGAACCAAATCATTAAATGGATATAATGGAATCAAATCACTAAATGGATACAATGGAATCAAATCATTCAATGGATATAATGGAACCAAATCATTAAATGGATATAATGGAATCAAATCATTCAATGGATACAATGGAATCAAATCATTAAATGGATATAATGGAATCTAATCACTAAATGGATATAATGGAATCAAATCACTGAATGGATATAATGGAATCAAATCATTAAATGGATATAATGGAATCAAATCACTGAATGGATATAATGGAATCAAATCATTAAATGGATATAATGGAATCAAATCATTAAATGGATATAATGGAATCAAATCATTAAATGGATATAATGGAATCAAATCATTAAATGGATATAATGGAATCAAATCATTAAATGGATATAATGGAATCAAATCACTAAATGGATATAATGGAATCAAATCATTAAATGGATATAATGGAACCAAATCATTAAATGGATATAATGGAATCAAATCATTAAATGGATATAATGGAATCCAATCATTAAATGGATATAATGGAATCAAATCACTAAATGGATATAATGGAATCCAATCATTAAATGGATATAATGGAATCAAATCATTAAATGGATATAATGGAATCAAATCATTCAATGGATATAATGGAACCAAATCATTAAATGGATATAATGGAATCAAATCATTAAATGGATATAATGGAATCAAATCATTAAATGGATATAATGGAATCAAATCATTAAATGGATATAATGGAATCAAATCATTAAATGGATATAATGGAATCAAATCATTAAATGGATATAATGGAACCAAATCCGAGAGATGACAACCCAGAATCCTTGGCTGCAGGGGAAACACTGCATGATTTAGAAACCTCTCATGATATGTGTGTAGTATTCAGGAATGCTTTCACACATTATGGTTCTGATAGATCAAGAATTCGGCACTCCCGATGTTGTGGACTACATCTTCCCAGATGCCTTGCCAGTATTATGGCTGTGAGAGCATTGTGGGGAACATCTGGAGTACCGAAGGTTGTCTACCATTGCTCTAGTTATTCTGATACCTTGTCACCAACTATAACCGCTTGTATAAGCATTAATAAAAGGTTTTACTTTTATTTTCCATGATAAATAGGCAAAAAGGACGGGAAAAGGTTTCCATGCCTCTAACATCTGTGACATGTCTTATGACATTTTTTGACACGCCTACTACATTCAAACATCAATTTAAAGCATTCACTACAAGATTTTCTGTTACATTTGGAGCTAATCAACATTTTTTTTTAGAGCACACATTGTTCCCCGGGCATCCATGGCCTGCCTTTCTTTACAGATACTGCGAAAGCAGAAATGCCCTCCTGCATTAGATATATTAATTTTGTCTGATTAGGACTGTAATCCACGGCTGATGCTCTCAGTTTATGAATTCTGTCCAAACACAGAATTCATATTGGTAACATGGAAGAGGAACTCCTCTTTTAGGAAGAAGGATCAGACTGCAGGATCCCAGGGGACCCCGGTGATACCCAGCCATTTCTGATCTTGATTGGTCACAGTTGACCTGCATGTAGGGTTACACTGGCACTAGAAAGCAGAGATTTACTCCATATGACAACGAGGCATGAAGCCAACTCTGTGACAGGGAATTTTGAGGTTCCAAGAATTCTATAGAAACCTATCCCTTTAACGCTGGCACCGTGTTTCAGTTTCCCTAAAACACCACCTGGGGCATTATCCATATTAGAAGCCTGTTTTAACGTATTTTGTCCAGAACCCAGGGCCGCCATCAGAAATTTTGGGGCCCCTAACACAGCTCAAGGTCTGGGCCCCCCTTCAAGCCTGCCTCCAAATCCCGCCCACAGGAATACACACACACTTAACAGATACAAATACTGAAACAGACATACACACATGCATAGGGAGATGCTGAGACACACACACATATACAAGCAGACATACATACTGACAAACATACATATACATACTGCATATTGATTTATACATACAGACACACACAGGCATGCATACAGACACACACTGGCATACACGCACTGGCATACATACACACACGCATACACTGGCATACATGGGCATACATACACACACGCACTGGCATACACACACATACACTGGCATTCATACACACATACACTGGCATACACACACACACACTGGCATACACACACACACACTGGCATTCATACACCGGCATACACACTGGCATACATACACACATACACACACTGGCATACACACACTGGCATACACACTGGCATACATACACATACACTGGCATTCATACACTGGCATACACACACACTGGCATACATACACATACACTGGCATTCAGACACTGGCATACACACACACATACACTGGCATTCATACACCAGCATTCATACACCGGCATACACACACACATACACTGGCATACACACACACATACACTGGCATCACACACACTCGCATACACACACTGGCATACACACACATACACTGGCACACACACACACAGGCACACACACACAGGCATACACACACACTGGCATACACACACTGGCATACACACACATACACTGGCACACACACACTGGCATACACACACAGGCATACACACACACACTGGTGTACACACACAGGCATACACACACAGGCATACACACACAGGCATACACACACACTGGCATACACACACTGGCATACACACACACACATTTCATCCCAAGCCACCCTCCTCTCTTCCTTACCATTTCGTCGCAGGAGGGTGGCTGGGGATGATGGGCATCGGCTGCCTCTCCTCAGGCTGCGTCCTCCTTCCCGCGCGGAGTAAAGTGGGAGGAAGTGACCGGACGTCACTTCCTCCCAGCAGCACTTGCTTCCGGCTGCATTTTTTTTTTTTTTAAAGGGGCCCGGTCGCGCTATTACAGCGCTAAACGGGCCCCTGAAGATAATAGGGCCCATTGGGTGGCCCTAAATGATTGGGGCCACCTGATGGGCCCCATCAGCTTGTGGGCCCCGGTGCAGATGCACCGGCGGCAGTTCCGCTGATCCACGTGGGGCCCGGGCGGCCGGGCCCCCCAGGGCCGCCGGGCCCGTGACAATTGTCACGGTTGTCATGCCCTGATGGCAGCCCTGCCAGAACCGATGAGACCTGATCAGCCAAAGTAGCCTTTTCTTTTAAGGATCCAGATAACATGGCTTTAAAGGGACACTGTAGTCACCAGAATCACTAGAACCTAATGTTCATGCAGCCTTTGTAATGTAAGCACAGTCTTTTCAAAGAAAAGGTAGTGTTTACTTTGCTGGCTAGTTACACCTCTAGTGGTAATCACTCAGACGGAGGTGTTAATTGTTCCCCATACAATCGTCTTCAGTATAAGACTATTGCAAATTCGCAAAAGAAGATAGAAATAGAAATTAAGGCACCTGAACAAAAAATAAATCATTACAAAGATCAATTCAAAGGGAAGGACATTTGAATAAAGTTTATTTCAGAAAGTATCACATACAACAAACTGAAATTCTTTTAACTTTTTTTATTGCCTTTAATATCAAATTTGAAAATCAAGAAACAGTGATAGACAACTTTTATTGATTGAGAAAACCGCAAAACATTTCAGAATTTACACCCAGCGATATTTATTGTATATTTGGTCTCTTTCCAATTAAAACAACAGGTCGTGCGGGCAAGTATTGAGAACGAGCTTGCAAAAGAGAGATTTTAAAATATTGCAGTTTATCCAGACTTATCTCATGGAGAAATTATTTTGCTGCTATCCTATTGCCCCTCAAACAGCACAACCGAAGATATCATTGGGGAGCATCAAGATCGGTAATACACACACACATAAAATCTTTTTTTTATGAGCCAAAGAAAGTAGAAGAGGGGTTATAAGAGATAAGCATCTAAGAGCATTGTCTATTTTATCTAAAGTTAATTCCACGAAAAAAATAAAATAAAAAAAAATAAGGCAAGGTGAAAAAAGGAAGAGAAGAGAAAGAGAGGGAAAAGAGAAAGAGAAAAAGACTGTTAAAAAAAAAATCAGATCAGTTGGGAATTTAGTTTATATAAAAAAGTGGTGCATGTATCCTTTTTGGGGGTGTGATACTAGACAAAAAGACCAAAGACAATCGTAAGGTGAATAAACAGATAAAAAAACAAAACAAAAAAAAAACAAAAAAAAACCCACAATCTTACACCTTATGTAATATTGTAAAATAAAACAACTTACCAGATATATGGTGGCTTAACAAGCTAGTGATGGATCTAAGGCAAGCATGTCAAACTCGAAGGATAACAAGGCCAAATAAACAAGGTTTAAGTTCAAGTGGGCCACAAAAAAAAAAAAAAACTTTATTATAATTATTAAATTATTTATTTAGAAAAGTACAGTATAACAAAAGTTGCCTGACTGACACTGGATGTCCTCACGCTCAAAGTTAACAAAAGAGCAAGTTTATTTCAAAGGGACAGCTGTAGTCACCAGAACAACTACAGCTTAATGTAATTGTTCTGGTGCGTATATTCATTGCATTCAGGCATTTTTATGCAAACACTGCCTTTTCAGAGAAAGGAGATGGCCACTGGAGGTGCTTCCTGGCTCAGTGCTGCACAGTAGGTGTAAAGGAATAGTGTTCCTTTAAGGAGATGTGCTTTTGCATATAACCAATGTTTCAGTCCAACTACCTTGACATATTTAGAAAATAAATACCCCCAAATTACCCAAAAAAGATCTCACCAATCGCTTTGCCCCTTTGGGAGATTGGAATGTTCCGGGAAAAAGGAGGAGGTTGAGTGGAGAGGAGACAGAGGAAGATTGAAAGAGTTTGCACAAAATAAGGGCATTTTTATTATAGGTGATGCAGATATTAACCTAGAAGAAATTAAAATATTGGAGAAAGGACTTAAATTCGCTCCGAATGCCCCAGCAAATTCGTTCAATCTATTTATAGATGTTAATAAATTCATATGTAAACTCTCTTTAAAGAGATTTTTTTGCAAAAAAAGAATTAAATCAACCCCACTTAGGCATTAATAGCCAAGAAGGAGCTATTTATAAACTTAAGTCCACTTTTTACCCCAATGATAAAGGGAGTCAAATAGAAGCATTTTCAAAGATGGTTACTAAAGATCTAGAGAAAATGAACCCCAACATTAAAAACTTTAATCTAACACAAAAAGAAAATGGGATTTTAAAAAACTTAAAATCAAAAGACAATTTAATTATTAAGAGTGTAGATAAGGGTGGTGGTACTGTTGTTATGCCCACCCATTATTATCTAACTGAATCTTATCAGTTATTGGAAGATAGAGATACGTATACCCTTCTGAGACAAGAGCCCAATAAAGATTTTAATCTTAAATTGAAAGAATTACTTTTAAATTATAAAAGTCAAAATGTGATAGATGATAAGTTATTTTCTTTTTTACATTTAGATTTTCCAAGAATTCCAACATTTTATTTTCTCCCTAAAGTACATAAGTCTATCTCTCATCCACCAGGACTTCCCATTATTAGTGGTGTTGACTCTGACATCTAGATTGTCAGAATATGTAGATTTTTCCCTTCAGAAACATGCTCAAAGTGCTAAATCCTATTTAAAGGATACTAAAAATCTTATTCAAGAAATAGAGTGTATTGAATGGAAAGAAAACTACGTATGGGCAACTTTGGATGTCACTTTACTATATACGATTATTGATCATGATTTAGGTCTTAAAGCTGTCCAAAGAGTATTAGACTTGGATAGTAACTTATCTCCTCATTTTAGACAATTTATCTTGGATGGTATAAAATTTATTTTAACCCATAATTTTTTCAGTTTTAATGGTAATTTTTTATCTACGGCCATGGGTACCAAATTCGCTCCTAGTTACGCAAATGTTATTATGGATAATTGGGAAACTACCAATGTTTGGAATAATAACCCATTTGGAGTGAATTTGGTACTATGGCGGAGATATATAGATGATATTTTAATTATTTGAAAAGGCCCACTTGATCTTTTGAATGAATTTTTTAATTTCATAAATATGAATAACCAATCATTGGTTTTTACTCCCCAAATAGACCCTTTCAGTATTAACTTTTTAGATCTTACCCTTTATATAGAGAATTCTATTATTAAAAAAAAGACATTTTTTAAACCTACAGATTCCAACTCTTTTATCGATACTAAAAGTGCTCATCACCCGAATTGGCTTCGAGGAGTTCCTAGAAGCCAGTTCACTAGACTCAAAATAAATTGTACCGATCAAAGTTATTTTTTGGATCAGTCAGAATTCCTTAAGAATAAATTTATAGAAAAAGGTTATTCTCCTAAATTTTTAGAACAAGAAATCGATAGATGTAAAAACATTACCAGGAATGATCTTTTAGTTAATAGGGCTAAAAATAAGAATTCTAATGAAAATTTTAGTTTATCTTTTATCACTCAATATAATGCTCAAGCCTTTACAATTAAAAAAGATTTTACAAAAACATTGGCCTCTTTTATTGGAAGATGACCTCCTAAGGAAACAAATTCCATCTGTACCAAAAATGATTTTTAAGAGGAGTAAAATGTTTTAGCTCCTAGTACGTTTAGATCTAAGCAAACAGAAGCCTCATCCCTAAAGGGATTCTACAAATGTGGTAGATGCAAGGGTTGTAAATTTTTACCTAAAAAAACCCAACATTTTAAAAGTCACAAAACAGGAGAACTTTTTAAAATAAATGATTACATTAACTGCAACACCACTAATGTAGTATATCTTTTAACTTGTGGATGTGGCATTCAATATGTGGGGAGAACTAGTAGAGCACTTAAAGTTAGATTTATGGAACATTGTAACAATATAAAGAAACACTTGATTACTCACTCTGTACCGGTACACTGTAATAATTGTCCTGATTTTAAGTTTGATACCTTTTTATGCACGGGTTTAGAAAGAGTTACATTGGATGATAGAGGAGGTGATTTAATAAAGAAATTATGTCAAAGAGAAGGTTTTTGGATTTTTAATCTTAAGACTTTTAGCCCTATTGGACTAAATGTCGATTTTGATATGGTATGTTTTTTATAAATAAACCATCACATATATATTTTTTAACTATTGTATTATTTTTTAAGTATGTATCTTTTATTCATACTCTATAATTTTTATATTTATATATTTTTTATATTTATACATTTGTTATTTATATAATTATCATCCCATGTGCCTTTCCTTTTCATCTTTTATTATTTTTTATAATACACACCTTGAAAAAGGTTTCTCTATATTATATTTGGTATTTGATCTCTTCTTCCATTAATACTAATAATTATTTATGTTTAAATGTTTTTCTTTATTTGTTTTCATGATAATACCGGATGTTGTTTCCACGCAAGACCGGAAGTTGTTCTAAGAATGGTCGAACTGAAAATGAGGCTTGGAACGCATCAAACTAACGCAGGTGATACACCCTGATTGGCCATACAGAAGGCGGGAATCTACGGCTTTTTAAAAGACGGACTCAATAGACTGTAACATGCACCTTCATTAGCCCCTGAGGAAGTCTCGTTTGGAGACGAAACGCGTAGGGTGGAGGGACCACGACAGCACCTTGTTATTGCCATTGCTGACTTATTTTATTTATGTTCCTATTTGGTTTTTAATTTGGTTTGTCTTGCTATTACTTGTTAAGGGAAAGAGGACGCCGGCACCATTATCCCCCAATTATTTTGACAAGCTGGATTACAACTATTATCTTGTGAGTGCAATCAAATAAATGTTACTATTTTTATTATCCTGGTGCACTATAGTTTGTGTGTTTAAATTTACTACACTATATATTCCTTTTTGTAGATTGCATTTTCTATATTTAGAAAAGTTTGGTAATGGCGAATGTATGCTGTTGCATAGCTGTTAAAAACAAATGACGTAATCTTGTAGATTTTGAAGTCCTATGAGTGTATTCTTCACTTTGGTTGAGATCAAACTTGATGATCTCAGCCAATCCAATGATTTCCCATAGGAAAGCATTGGGAGGCTATTGTGCATGTGTGGGAAAAAGCTACACGGCCAAACAGCATCTCCACAGGGAGCGTTCAGCGCCTCCATGCAGAACCAATCTAACTCACTGCCCCTCCCCCCTATTCTAATACACTGCGACAAATCGAATACATTGCCCCCAAATCCAATTCACTGCCCTCCTCCCTCCACTTTAATACACTGCCATCTCCACGTAATCCAATATAATGCCTCTTAATCTAATACACTGCCGCTCCTCCCTCCATTCCAATTGAATACACTGCCCCTCCTCCCACCACACTAGTTTAATATACTTCCCTCCCCCAATACACTGCCCCTCTCCCTCCCCCAAATTAACACACTACCCCACCTCCCACCACTCTAATACACTGCCCCCATTCTTCCATCAAATTAATACACTGCCCCCTCCCTCTCCCTAAAATTAATACACTGTCCTCCCCCCAATTTAACACACTGCCTCCCCCTTCCACCACTCTAATGCACTGCCCCCATTCCTCCCTCAAATTAATACACTGCTCCCTCCCTCCCCAATTTAATACACTGGACCCTCCCTCCCTAAAATGAATACACTGCTCCCTCTCCACAATTTAACACACTAAGAAGGAAGGTCCCGCAAGCCCCTCTTTACCTACCTTAAGATGAGCTGCCCGTCCTCCAGTTCCAGCCCTGCTCTTCTCAAGCAGGCCAGACACTCCTCTGACACTGCAAGCATAAGGGAAGGGGGAGTGACTGACCTGCGGGAGCACGCGGTCGGCCATTGAAGGAAAGACAAGAATATAAGCTTGCTATGAAGCATAAGAATGTTTATCAGGTAATATGAACAGGGGACACTTCCAGGTTTCGGCCGTGGAACGCAAAGTGGAATGCGGACGTTATACGCGATGATGCCACCATACTCAAACGAAACCAGAGAAGCAGCTGAAATAGAATATTGCACCTTTATGGACATTTGAGGGGATATAAAAGGACTATGGAGGGGAGGGGGGATTATTACTTATTTTGGAGTGCGGTTAAATGCTGTTAAAGTCCATGAGGCAGTCCTTTACACGGACGAAACGCGTAGGACGCCTAGTGGTGATTCTGACCTACTACATCCACTATTTTTAACCCATATGCAAGTTAATAAATCATTTATTACCTACTTTATTTTGCACTAAGATTTTACCTCTTTTTTGAGTATATGTGCTCCAGCCAAGACATGGTTAGCAGATACTCCCCAATTTTTTGTATATACATTTTGTGGAAGACAGGAGGAAGTCTTCGGGGTACCCTTGGAAGCTTCACCTTATACAGGGGAGTTTCTGTCTGCTACCACTTCACTTGCACTAATTGCACTTTGGTTTGTGATCACAAATATTTTGTTTTATTTGCACAAGACAAGAATCAGACAGAAAATATCTTTACTGTCTTACGGCTGGTCACAACCGACAACACAAAGTGGCCCCAGGGCAGGTGGGCCGCAGGTTTGACATGCTTGATCTAAGGGATCCTTGTTGTTGCACAATTGTTGAACTAGTAAAACCAAGAAGCGTAGTAAGTGGGTTTAATTTAGAAGTCAGCCCTATTTCATTTTTAATAGCATCCCAAATCCTTAATTAATTAACAATAGCTGTGCAGCTTATAAGGAGGGGTGTACTTTTTTTTAGGGATATAAGTTGTGATTGTTTTATTTTGTTTTTTATTATAGAATGTAAGATGCAGATATAAGATGGACAACACAACATTATTACAATATAAATATTAAATATTTTACAATGAGATGCTTTTAAAAATGTTCAGCTGTCTCACACAGTGCAAGATGAGCCTGCGGTTTTCTGTTCTATATTTTTTGCTATTGACTGCTTCATTCAACAACTCTCGAATTGATAAAGAGTGCTCAGACTGCAGTTCATATACTTTTAACAATATCTTTATTACATTTTACATTGGTAAGTGCTCATTCTATTTCCTCTTTAAAGGGTTTTTCCAACACTATAATTTTTACCTTTACAATGTCCTATAGGGCATTACTATTAGGTTCACAGTCAGGGCCAGCGGCAAAAACCCTGTAAAAAAAAAAAAAAAAATGATCCTAAAACGTACCTTAATCCTGCACCTGGACCGGATCTCCACTCCTGACGTCACCTGGCACTCGTGCAGTCCAATCACATGGTTCTCATAGTGAAGCCTATAATTAAACCGTTTCACAGCCTCTGAGTGCATGCACTCTTTTTGAGCCATCAAGGGGAGGTGGGAAGGAGATGAAAACTATTTTCCCCTTGCAGGCGTCCTTTTTAAGCCTTTTGGCAGCTTGCAGTGAACCCTGATGGCTGACTTTTTTCTGCACACTATTGACAATAGAGGCTGCCTAAAGTACGTGTGCTGGGGGTGCAATGACTGCACAAAACTATAAATATATACTGTGTTTCAAGCAGAAACATTGCACATCACTGAAGTGGTTATAGTAGTTGGAGTAACGCTTTAAAAGGACCACTATAGGCACCCAGACCTCTTCACCTCAATTAAGTGGTCTGGATGCCAGGTCCCTCTAGTTTTAACCTTGCAGCAGAAAACATAGCGTTTTCAGATAAACTGCTATGTTTCACTGAGGGTTAATCCAGCCTCTAGTGGCTGTCTCACTGACAGCCGCTAGAGGCGCTTCCGCTATTCTCACTGTGAAAAATCACAGTGAGAAGATGCTGGACGTTCATAGGAAAGCAGTGAGTAATGCTTTCCTATGGGCGGTTTGAATGCGCGCATGGGCTCTTGCCATGCATGCGCATTCAGATTTGACGTCGGCAGTGGGAGGAGAGGTCACCAGTGCCGAGGGAGCCCAGCGATGGAGAAAGGTAAGAGGCTGAAGGGATTTTAACCCATTCAGCCCAGCGGGAGGGGGGCCCTGAGGGTGGGGGGGACCTAATAACCCTATAGTGCCAGGAAAACGAGTTTGTTTTCCTGGAACTATTGTGGTCCTTTAAGTAACATAGGTTAAAATAAAAACAAAAGCTATTAAGGAACTGGTCTTCATTGATATCCAGTAACGGATGGAAAACCAGATTATAGAAAAACAAGGTTTTGTTATTTTTAGTTAAGGTTTTGTTAATTGCAAATTAAAGAGATAAACATATATATATTGGCACATAGTCTTATGGATAACTAGAGAAAATCAGATGACGCTGGATTAAGTTTATGTTGATTATAGAGAGAGAAACAACAACAACAAAAAATTTTTAGAGAACATCCACAATATGGTAAAAACCCGTTTTATTTGAGAAAGGAACATACTATTATTGGTATTTATATAGCGCAAACTAATTCTGCAGCGCTTTATAATATTATAAAAGGGGGTAAATTACAATAAATGTTACAATTACACAGGGACACAGGAACAATAGAGGGCCCTGCTCAAACAAGCTTACAGTCTAGAGTTCAGTTATTTGCTGTACTGGTTACATTGCTTAGATTGTGCCACACCCCGTTTAATATTGATCCGTAGGCTGGTATAAACAGAGCGTCTTCCAAGTGTCCAGGGCTTGCCCCGTTATAAATGCACTGATAATGCAATATGAGCCCTTCCATATTATTAATGTCAATTTCATCCAACCTGCACGACACTATTTGGCTGTGAGTGTTGAGCTAACCTACTCCATCACTCTCAGCCAATCAATATTGTTCAGGTAGGGCGAAACTGAAATGAATCAAGAAATGTCAATTTTGCATTAACAACACAATAGGATATTAAATGGAGGGACAGCACCGGAGGACTCTAGGCAACCCATCTACACAGTGACCCTTTAATGGATGACCAATATTGGGTGAAATCCAAAGAAACACCACTTTATTAATAACCATATATGGAGGAACAAGGCTTTAATAAAATCCTGAAAAAAATATTTATTGGAATATGGTGAATGCGCGCTGCTTGGGTCCAAATTGTATTCATCTTAAAATAAATAAATATACGAGAACACTTTGTCTTCTTGGTAGGAATCTCGTAATTATGAAGAGCAATAAATAAAAAAACATCGAATCATGAAGAATTTCTATTCTCAAGTATATAACCCCCCCCTCTAACCTCCCCTCCCCCCCAAAAAAACCCCTGCACAATAAGTCAGAGAGAACACACCACCTTCACGCTCTATATGGCTACAGTGGCTGTAATGCTACCCTGAAAAATGAATTTCTGCCAAAGGTCCCCCTTTAGATGTTACTGTATGTTTTATGTATCCATAGTTATGGGACATGTGATATACTGCATTGTCTATATTTATTTATGGCTTTACAAAACAAACATGGGCTATAGTTATATATGTAGACTAAATAGTTTTACCGACAAAAATACTAAAATGATCCAGGTATAGTTTCTCTCTTTTTTTGTATAATTGACAAAAAAACTTTTTGCAAAAATAAATAAATCATAAAACAAAATATATTTTTGAATATACAAATACACACACACACACACACACACACACACACACACACACACACACACGTTAATGGGCTTCATAAATAAAAACTTCATAACATATTTATTCCAAACTCTGGTACATCAGATCAATGGTTTAGCTTTACGAAGCTCACCAAGTGACTCCTTCATGGTAAATAAATATAGTACATATAGATTTTATTTTTTTCGTTCTGTATTTTCCATTATAGCGAACGTTAAAAATTTTTTTTAAATCTAATTTTATTTATATTTAATGCTTTATTGATTCTTCTTCCTCGTCTGAAAACGAATTAAAAAGGGGACATTAACCTGTTAAATACCTTTCACACAACAATGAGAAGCAGTGAAAAATACAGCGAAATGGATGAGGATTTTGCAAGATTATCTATTTTTTTTGCCAATGTTTATAGTCCACCAAATTAAGTAAAGAAATAAAATACAAAATGCATAGTTTGCAGCATTTGCATTCTGGGCCACTTGTTCTGTTTGTCTGGATGTATAAGACAATGTTTATTGTGACAAGTGCTAAATAGCTTGCCCTTATGTTATCCCTTTCATCTTTGGCTTTTATCCTTCTTACCGCACAACTTTTTCTTGAGAGCAGTTTTCACCTCACTGTTCCTTAGACAGTATATATACGGGTTGAACATGGGGGTTATAGTTGTATACATGAGAGTGATAGGTCTTCTGTTGTGTGGTGAGTTTCCAGTAGAAGGTCTGAAATACATGAAAACGGCTGAGGCCGAGAAGAGGGCAAAGACGGTGAGGTGGGATGCACAAGTGGAAAAGGTCTTTTTCCTTCCACTAGATGAGGGGATTCTAAGAATAGATAAAGTAATGCGAACATATGATAGGATAATAAGTATTAAGGGTACAAGAGCAACTGCTGAGCCCTCTGTGAAGATGAGATGCTGATTAAATGTTGTATCAGAGGTTGAGATATCCAGAAGTGGTGGAATGTCACAGAAGAAGTGAGGGAGAAGGGAGATCTGATGGAAATCAAGACGAGAGGTCACACAAGCATGGAGAATGGCATGTAGTGAAGCACATATGCAACACCCACTGCAAAGTGCCAAGCATGTACCATGACTCATAAGTATCGAATACCTGAGAGGATGGCATATAGCAACATATCGGTCATAAGCCATGGCAGAAAGCAACAAATTCTCACTGTTCCCAAAGGCATGGAAGAAGAATACTTGAGTAATGCATCTGGAAAATGAGATGCTGGTACCCTCGGATAACAGAGTGGACAACATTCCTGGAACAGTGGTGGAAGAGAAAGAGAAATCCATGATGGAGAAACACCAGAGGAGAAGATACATCGGGGAATGAAGTCGTGGATCAACCACAATTATACTTAACATCATGAAGTTCCCCAAGAATGTGATCAGATAAATTATTAGAAAGAGAAGGAAAAGTGGAATGCATAGGGATGGAGATTCTGATATACGGAGGAGGATAAATTCAATCGGATTAGTCAGGTTCAAGCGGGACATGAGTAAGAAGTTACTGCAAGCATTACAGAACATAATATTATATACACACACACACATAAAATAAAGATAGACAGTCTGTTTGAAATTTTTTTTTACATTGAAACTAGATGCCAACATTGAACCTAAAAACATCAAAGCTGTAACTATAGCTCACTTGGATAATTTTCCCAAATCAGTTATCTTAGCCTTTAGTTTGCAGTCTGGTCTTCAATTTCCTACAGTTTGGCATATAGTGAATAAACTCCAGTCTAGTAATGGAAGGAGAGTTTGCCATTAACCATAATGCTATAGGGTTAAATATATCAGATCTTTTGTGTACAATTCTGGGATAGCCAACACAAACTTTGTAGAAAACTAGATTTAAAATAAATATAATTGCCAGGTGTTAAGCACCACATGACATCCACCACATCCAGCACATACAACACACAAAGGAAGCACCAATATAGCACACAGGACACCAAAACACTGCACATCAAACAGGTACAACAAACACACAGTGTACCAATAAAATACACTGCACACCAGGGCCGGACTGAGAACATTTTTTAAGCCTGGACATTTTTTTTTTATCGCAGCGGCCCAATGAAAGGGGGGTGTTTGTCATCACCAATGACAATCACGCCCCCTCTCAAAGTGAGCATACTGGTTCAATGCTTGTCCAGGGCAGCCCATGTGCAGAGCCCTAGTGAAGAGCTCTTGCATCTTCTGCGCATCACAAGCAAATCTAATGGCAAGCTTTGCTGGGCACCTTCTAGGGCTGGAATTAACTAGTGTGAGATTTGGACAGAAAGTTGCCATTGTAACCACAGCAACGCTATGCTGGACTACAGGGCCCGGCAGAGATGCAGTCTAGAGCTCTCCAGTCCTCCTCTCTCTCCCCTTCTGCTGATATTATGGACCTGTGGGCTGGTAAAGTAGAGATCTAACCAACGACCCTCATAATACACAGAGCTCCCCTCCTGCCGGTCTCCTGCTGGATAGAGAAACTGATTTCCCTCTACACCGATCTGGGAGAAAGCACAAACAGAGAGCACCAAACCAAACAAGTTTCTCTTCCTCTGTCTGCAGCTCCACCATGTTGGGAGTAAGAGACACAAAGTGGAGGTGTAAGAAACAGAAAAAGGAAAACACGCACTGTGCATCCACCACACACACACACTGCATGCACTATGCAAATACACACTCTGCATCCACTACACAGACACTGCACAACATAGTGGATGTGGGTGTGTTTTGGTGCGTGTGGTTTTGTTGGGTTATGGGCGGCATTTCATCCTTGGACCCAGGCAGCACAATGTCTTCAGCTGGACGTGACTGCACACCACACAAAAACTGTACCAATATGATACAAAACCATGACACACAGCGCACACAATTTGGACCTCCATAAAAATACACTGCTCAACACACACCATAGCGGTAAAATACTGAGCAATAAAGAAAAATTCAGCTCTAGACTGTAACTCTAAGAATCTATTTAATCACCAAAAGACCCTGAGAATCTGACCATTGCAGCAGGAGAGGGTGTGCTGTGCGCCAATGTGAAAGGATGGTATTAGGAGTTTGTTAATCAATGCCCCCCTTTTTTTATATTTTTAATTTTTTCCATTATAAGGTTCATTTAAGATTGCAGTCGTCCGTTCCAATGTTGATACATGTAGTGAGTTACTTCCTAAACTTTGAGCATTAATTGCTGCAAATGTTAATGAATTCTAATGGAATATTCTATAAAACAATTGTGAATATATGGATCTTCGGGAATATTCCTGGTAGTGTGAATGATGTTAGAGAAGCAAATGGCAAATCTAATTGTAAAAACATCTTGCACAATGGAAGTTCTTTATAAACCATAAATCTGGGGAAATTATCTAATTGAGGAATAATAAGTAGAAACATTGCAACACTTAATTGGTTTCTATAGCGATTGCTGAGGTTGTACCAGAATTTATCTTTATAAATAGTGTCCCAAAAATCTTTCAACTGACCCAAACTGACGCTAACCAGACAGCATTCAGAAAGAGGCCCGAGTCTGGAGACAGACACTGCTTCTTGTGACAGTAATAAAGCCATCCATAATGACAGATCTCTCACACTTGGTTAAGTTGCATTGATATTTTTTAATGGGGATGTCTTAGTGGAGTAGCAGTGGCCTGGGCAAAATGAAAAAAAACAAACAATTTTTTATTAAATTTAAAAAAAAATTACTGTTTCAGTGTGTGCACATATAAAATCAGAATTTAAAACCAAACTGCAAAGCTTAGGCCGAAATAACCATACATATATTTTATATTTGCTTTTTATTTGTAAATAATAAAATAAATCACTCACCTTCTAAAGAAAAGAAAAAAAGAAAAAAGAAAAATATATCTATCTTTTTCCGAGTATAAACATCTATAGGTGCCAAACAGCAATGTAGAAAGGCTTAATATATATGTATTTAGACACACACACACACACACACAGATAAAGGCAGGTACAGAACAAGCTCCAAAATACTCACTGGAATTAAGAGAATCCCTAGCTGGCTCTAAAGTGTAAAAAAAAAATAAATAAAAAAAAAAAAATTCAACAACTTAGCTGCGTGACTTGTTAATGTATCAGTATAAAGGTTGTTTCACCATTAATGAGAGTATAGGCAGGGATGTATCTTACACGAGGTAAACAATGCATTTGCCTTGGGCGGCACTTTGCAGGGGGCTGCAAAAAAAAACACCCCCACACGCCCAGGCACGCCCAGGCACGCCCAGCAGATCCCTTGCTTGCCTCGGTGTGTGTGTGTGTGTGTGTGTGCGGCCGTCAGTCAAAGTGCGGTCGTGATTGGAAGGGGTGGGGAAAATTTAAATTTGGGGGGAGGAGGGGGTCCCGAGCACCGTCCTGCATAAGGGAGCACAAATCCTAAATACACCACTGACCAGATTACTTCATGTCAATGTCTCGGTGCCATGCGCCCCCCACTCATCCATTTTAACGTGGCAACTTAAAACATAGCTGTTCTGCAGGAAAGGCAATGTTTTCATTGCTGGATTAACCCGCCACTAGTGGAGAGTATCTGGTTGGTGTAGTGCAGCGTTTAACTGCACATGCACACTAAACTTCTAATGATTACCTATGGGAAACCTTTGCATTGGCTGAATTAATTGATTTTGATGATCCTATCCAAAGCGGTGGAGCTTCCCCGAGGAGACTGCTGCTGTGAGGGAGAAAACCTAAAAATGTTATGCAACCTTTCACCAATGTTATGCAACCTTTCCCCCAAATACCTCATGGCTTGTCCACGAGGCCACCGCATCGATATCCAGCAATGTGGAGAGGGCCAGACATGGATGGATCACTTCAATGCTAGATTCAAGGCAATCTGCGAGAAATTATGGCACCGTATTTATTGCCGACTCACAATACCTGCTGCTACTATCAAATGGAGGATCCCTGTTACCGTCACCCATACTCACCCCTCTGCTGAGCAGGAGGCCCACGTGGAATCACCGCCGTGCTGTCCATACATCGGGTTCCTAGGAGGCTGAGGGCCCAAGGTTCTTTCGATGGAAAAATGGAGAACCTTTGGACATAAGGTGACAACCCCCTTTCACGCTTGGAGCAAAGGCGAGAGGATTTGCGACAGTGCAGCCTACAACATATCAAGCAGCAGGGAATTCAGCGAGACCTGCACAGAGATGTTCAGGGGAAAGGAGGCATCAGACCGGACAACAGGTAGCACTCTCTAGCGTGGCCCGCCATGATGGGACTTATAAGCATAGTAGTAAACTATTTACTCTTTCTACATTTATTTTATAACCCAGTGGTATCTTTACTCAACAAATTGTCAGTTTAATCAGCCTGATCTTTTTTAGGTTTTCTTTGAGTCTCTTACAGACATCCTAATCCCTCTTGCCTATACAGGATGCTGTGCATAGTGCTGCCCTGTGCTCTGCTGACAGCAGATCTGAGTGGATGGAGGCATATAAGGGACTACTCATTATTCTAAACCTCACAAGACATACTCCAGAATAGATGTAATACTCATACCGGGACCTTCTCTTAATCTGCTTCAAACATGTCACATGGGCGACATCATCTGGTCAGACCACGCACCAGTGCTTGCTATGTTCAGAGACGAATTCGCCTTTAGGGACTGCAACCCTTGGAGACTTAATGGCTCCATTCTACAGGACAACAAACTTAGCTCAGAAATAGAAACTGAACTCAAGCATTACTTCTCTGCCAATGAAACGCCAGAGACGTCCCCGACATTGGTATGGAGAGCCCATAAGGCCGTAGTGCGCGGGTTGTTTATACGATGGTCCTCTTTCCTAAAAAAAGACCTCCCAGACAAAGTACCTGAACTCATTGCGGAAATTGAGAGATGCATCAGCCTCCCATTTACTCAACCCAAACCCAGAAGACGCTGCAATAATTACTCAAACCCAATCAGAACTCAATTACATAAACATAGCCAATACAACCCGCACAATCCAAAAACTGAAAAGTAGGGAGTACTGTATGGGTAACAAAGACAGTTCACTTCTGGCCAACCGACTCAGGGATGCGCAGGCACAAACCAAAATAGCATATCTTAACACACAAGATGGGAAAAAGGTAATTAAACCCCAGCAGATCAGTGATCTTTTCGCTGATTTCTACAGCAAACTCTATAATTTAAAAGACGACCCTATGGTACACCAGCCCACTGAAGAGGAAATAGCCAATTTCCTGAACTAAGTTCATCTACCTACGCTCTCGGTTTCGCAACAGGAGTCCCTAGCAGGACCCATTTCACAAACAAACAGTTATACAGAACCTGCCATTAAACAAAACTCCAGGCCCAGATGGACTGCCAAACCTATACTATAAGAGATTCTCCTCCATCCTCACTCCCCGGCACAAGAAAACATACTGCAGGACATGCTCATGGCCAACGTGGCCACTTTACCTAAACCCGGAAAACCGCCAATCCATTGCGCAAATTTTAGACCGATCTCCCTGCTAAATTTGGACGTGAAGATCCTGGCTAAAGTCTATGCCAACAGACTGACTACAATCCTGCCGACTATTGTACACTCCAATCAAGTCGGCTTTGTGCGTGGCAGGCAGGGAGCGGACGGCACACGAAAAGCCCTTGCATTACTACACACCATGCATAGACACTTCCCCAACAGTCTCCTACTATCCTTAGATGCTGAAAAAGCTTTTGACCGCCTGCACTGGACGTTCTTGCAGGCGGTCCTGATTAAATTTGGCTTTCCTTCACATTTTATCTCCATGATCAAATCATTATATAGTAACCCCGAGGCCCGGGTCTTCATGTCCAGATTCCAATCAATGTCCTTCCCTATCACCAATACCCTCTTATACATTATGGCCTTAGAACCCTTAGCTGAGTCCATCCGCTTATCGACAGATCACGGGAGTCAAAGTTGGGGGTGTAGAATATAAATTTAACCTTTTTGCTGATGACGTCCTTCTAACCATAACCGACCCACACAAATCCTTACCAGCATTCCACGACATACTGCAGCAATACAGCCACTGTTCGTACTATAAGCTAAATCTATCTAAAAACACAGGCCATGGGGGTGGGGATGGAGGATGACTATCTATCCAACCTGCGAAGCCAGTTTTCTTATGACTGGAGAACGGACCACCTCACGTTCCTGGGGATCAAACTCCCACACACTATGTCTAACTTGTACCACTTAAACTATGTCAAACTTAGCAAAGATATTACCAACACCCTCCTAAACTGGAGAAATACATTTATCTCCTGGTCTGGCCGAATAGCAGCAGTAAAGATGGTGATATTACCCAAATTACAATATCTATTCAGGACACTCACCTTGACAGTGCCGCCTCCTTACTTTCTGTCCCTCCAAAGGCAGATTAATTTATTCATATGGCATGGAAAACGACCGAGAGTTGCCCTATCCACACTGTACCGACCAGTGCGGATGGGCGGTATGAGCCTCCCTAACGTGCAGCTTTACTACAAAGCAGCGGTCTTAGCGAGTCTCTTCCCTATTAACCAAAATACGTCCCCTCCCCAGTGGGTCTTCATAGAACAACACTGGTTGCAAACCCAAGACATCAAAACAAAAATATGGTTGCTACCCCACCAAAGGGGAAACACCGCAAACACACTTCCTGCCACCTTAACGACACTAAAAATCTGGGATGCCACCCGCAAACTCCTGCGCAGCTGCTACCCGATCCCCTTCTCAACCCCCATTAAAGCTCTGGCGCAAATGATACCTGACTTTAATTACAGAGTATGGAATAGATTCGGGGTGCTCCAAATACATTCCTTATTGGATAAAGGCAAACTAGCCACATTTGACCAATTGAAAATTAGCTACATATTGCCAAACACCACATACCAATCATACCTCCAGCTGACTTCATGGTGGAAAACCCATGTACCACATCCCACAACACCCACCACTACTGTCCTAACGCCCTTTGAAAAAAGTATAATGACAGATACACCAGCGAAAAAGCCCATCTCCACCATATACATGTTATTAATGCCCCGAAAAGGTATTAAATCCCTTACTTGTGTACGTTCCTGGGAAAAAGACCTAGATCAAACACTGTCAGAACAAACCTGGCTAACCTCAGTAAATGTAACCAGAGGCCTGACATTTTGCGCTTCCCACTTAGAGATTACTCGCAAACTCTTCTACCGCTGGTACATGGTCCCAACACGCCTAGCCACCATGGACCCGAAGCTGTCCAGCATTTGCTGGCGCTGCAAAAAGGAGACAGGCACGTTCCTACACACCTGGTGGAAATGCTAGAAACTCCAGCCATACTGGAAAGCGGTTATCTTATTAATACACCAATACACTTCAGTCATGATACTGAACTCCCCAACTTCTCTGCTCCTACTCATGTTAGAAGCCGACTACCCCAAGCCGATCAAATACTCCACGTACTCGTAGTGGCCCAAAACTTTATTGCAAAAAATTGGCTATCACCCACCAATGCACCAATGCAAGAATTGATTAGACACCTCTCCCAAATTGGGAAATACGAATCAAACATATCCCAAGTACCGCCCAACAAAAGTTGGAGACACGAGGTATGGGAAAGTTGAGAGCTGAAACACCCGAATTGAGTGTAACATGAATACCTCACCACTAGTAACACTCATAACACTAACTACAAGAGACCACACCAACACTAGCCAACCACCATGAAGCTTGCCCACAGAAGAAAAGCAACCACCATATCGTATGCCTAGGACATAACATTTATACCAAGAGCCTTACAACCTCCTTGCAAAGAACTGTCGGAAAGCAAAACTTTTCTCCCCCCCCGACCACATACCCTTGCCTTCCAAGGCCGAACTCAGGGGACCCCATCCCACCACACAAACACAGAGGGTTGCGACTTATACCGTAATTTCTGTGTGAATAGTATTGTGTTCCTTCCATGAGTGCAAGCTACTGGATAACAAGAAACTTATTGGAGGATGTATGTTCCATTTATGTGAAGATACACTGTCTTAACCCCTTCCCCTACTTATTTCTGTATCCCCCAATTGCATTTTTACGACAAAATTAAAATTATCAAATTGAAAAAAAAAAAGAAAAAATTTAGTAACTTTTTTTTTTTTTTTTTTAATAAAAAGTAGAATCAATACCATTCAGTCAACATTGGATGATAGAATTATATGTAAAACCATGGTCGTCTAGTTACTGGGAGGGAAAAGAGATAATCACTGCTCAGTAACTTCTTCCAGCTCTTGGAGGATTCGGTGGGGAAAGTCCTTGAAAGGACTACAGCTCCCTCGACTGTGTGTTGTCCAGTCCCTGTGAGGGAATAGAGCTAGTCCCCTGTCCTGTTCCAGGACGGAGAGGCTCCAGGAGGACTCCAGTCAAGCCACGGCGACTGGGGCAGAAGCGCTGAGGTTTTCCCCGGTTCCAGCTAGGAAGTGATCCTTGGCTGAGGTACCCAGGCTGGGTACAGGGAGCTCCGCTACAGTCTGCATTTTAACTGTACATAGCCAGATTAAAAAAAAAAAAAAATTGCCTAAAAAAAAAAATTTGTGTGAACCCCTACATATAGAATACTAGCATAGTAGAACCATTTAATGACCAAAATCTGCACTAGAATATTATCTGGTACATGTAAAAATTGTACACAACGGAAGCATGGAGAACTTTAAGTTGATTTAGGAAACTAGGATTGGTTATGAACATACATGAGGTCATTGTCGATATTTTGTGAAGTTATAACTTAATGCAAGTTCAGAAGGACTGTACACTGAGTACTAGGAAAAGGAAAAAAAGGTAAATAATTAAATTAAATATATGGAGAATGAGTCTCTGACAAACGCAAAAGAGTTTCAAGATGTTTCAAACATTGAGAAGCAAGTAGGGAAATCTTTCTTTAATGGTGTATAGTGCCCCAGAAGGTGGCCAAGGTATCTCCCATGCATCGAGCCTTGCAAGAGGTGTGATAGAAGATCGATGCTGCATGTATGATGGATATATTTCTGCACTCTATTAGAGCTAGATAATTAAGAATATTTACACGATTACAGGATCAATGACATCCTGTTTTCTGACGTCTTTATTGGATATATTACCAGTAAATTATATAATATCATAATATACCTGTATATGTGTTGCATATTGTAGCGGAACGCCAATAATAAATCCACGAATTCCGCTGGTTCAGAAACGAATCCACAGTCAAGCGCTGAAACAACAAGGCAATATCCCCAACCTCCCAATAACCAGACGCGACACAGTTTTGGGAGTCAACTCAAATCCTTTTAATCGGCAGGACAATTTATACAAGTCCCCATGCAAGGGGTTTCCTGAGTCCCATGCACATCCCTATAAGACATGGCTTAAAAACATCTGAACCGTTTTAATTATTAAATCAACACACAGAAAGTATTACATTCCTAGAGTGGAATGCTTTATTTTAACAAGTCATGATTTAAAATTTATTTCAGAACGAGATCTTCTGGGTAACAGTTTTTAACCTCTTATATATGCAGAATTGTGGCGTGTTTGACAACTTACTGCACATTCCACTGAAAATTGTTCTAGCACAGTCATTCATAGCCATCTTTGACTGGTACCTATATTATTTTATAAAATATTACTATGATGATCCATTTTCCTCTTGTATCGTGACCCTTTTTTCCCAATGTATTATGGTATATAATAGAATATAAGATGAAAAATACCTGAATTAAACGAGTTATTGTGGGAAGTAGGCTTATTCTTACCAAATAAAATGCAAAACATTTTTCAAAGTGTTTCGTTATGAAAAATGGTGCAAAATGTTGTGCAATCCTCATGGAAACCAATAGAACCAGCAGGCATAGTCTATTGGCTACACTCCTTTCTACACCTCTGCACCGCTTTTTAGAATGTGACATTTTAATAAATGAGCAACAAACAAGTTGCAAGAGAGAGTACTAGAAACGGACAACAGCTCAATTATCCTGCCCTTCGGTGGGTCTCCACTCTGATCTTGAGCTCAAAGTAGTTACTGTGCCTCTTGGTACAAACAAGACCCAATAAATATGTTTGAGAATCCAATTTTGGGTCTTGACCCAGTGTTCGGGGCCGCTGCTCTAATAAATTATATAGGTTTGGTGCCAGATTGTGGGTGAGATAAATACATACTTGGCCAAGCTTATGGCATGCTGGGTGAAATCAGATGCCTATTTTAGCCTAAATCGCTCATTCTTCTGAGCAAAATATCTTTTCACAGATTATCCACAAAGAAGTAGAGCTGGATTATTAGACAAATAGAACTTAAAAAAAATGTGGGATAAATTGTTCTTCTCTGCGGTCTATTAATTCAGTGAGTACACAGGTAAATATTTTTTTATTTGATGGGTTCTCCTGGCTTCATTTGCCCATTCTTGGGTGTTTTTTGTTCTCTAGTATCTGCAGTGCTTTGTTCAGAGCACCTTTAAACTCCTGGTTTCTCAGGCAATATATAATGGGGTTCATGAGTGGTGTCACTACACAGTAGAAGACAGATATGACCTTGTCAATGGAAAACCGAATGTGAGAAGTTGGGCGGATGTACATGAAGATGACTGTGCCGTAAAAGATGGACACCACAGCAAGATGGGAAGCACATGTGTTAAATGCTTTCTTCTGCCCTTCGGTTGACGGGATCCTTATGACTGCAAAAATTATTAAAGTGTATGAGACCATGATGAGGAAGAAACATCCCAAAATAACACTCCAAGACATGACAATAAAAGCAAGCTCCCCATCAGTTGTGTCCTCACAGGAGAGCTTTAGGAGAGGTGCATAATCACAAAAAAAGTGATCTATTAGATTGGGGAAGCAGAAATCCAAGGTGGAAATCCAGACAGCTGGAGGGAAGGCAGCCAGCAACCCTCCTACCAAAGCACCTATTGCAAGATGTATACTGGTCTTAACGGACATCAATGTGGTATAATGTAGGGGGCGACAAATGGCGGCATAACGGTCATAAGCCATGACAGCCAGTAGACAGTTTTCTGAGGCTCCAAAGCCAAAAAGAAGGTAAAACTGAACAAGGCATGAGGCATAAGATATTTCTTTGTGTCTGGTCAACAAAGCATCAAGCATCTTAGGAACAGTCACCGTGGTATATATGACTTCCAGGAGAGAAAAGCTGGCCAGGAGTAAGTACATGGGCTTGTGAAGGTGCCAATCTAAAGCCACAAGGGCAATAATGACTATATGAGCCCCTAGCGTGAGGATATACATACTGGAAAAAATGGAGAATAGAAGCAATTCCATCTCCCACATGGTTTCAAAGCCCGCGATGATAAACGATGAGGCAATACTACGGTTTCCATTATCTCCTTTTAGCATGATCCCTGAAACACATCAGCAGGAACAGAGTTCACACAGCAGAATGGATAATTCAGTTCTATCAATTTGTGGCTATGATCAATTTCTTAGGTGAATCCAGGTAATTGATTATTTATCTTAATACACTGTGAAAATTTGACGAATGACAAAAAAGACACAGTTTTGGCCATACCCATCCATGCATCCATCAAGGTGTTTGTGAAACCCATTTCCCATGATCTTAAAGGTTGACTAGACATTATGGACAATATAGCACTTTCTGAATGTTTCTAAACACTCTGGGATACCATACTCCACTAGACCAGAGACTACAAATTCAGAGTTCTCTTACAAAAGGAAATATATGATAAATGAGAGACTATTCTATTCAAGCACAGCTTCCCTCACCCAAAAGTCTGACCACCAACACAACTAATTATCGTTTAGCAGGAAGTTATAATCGCAACAGTCAAATTGTTGAAGATTAGCATGTGCATATTTCAAAATGCTAGGAGTGCGTAGAAATGTTATCTCACATACATTAATGGGGGGAAAAAGTACAGCCTCTTTGAAGTCTATGCTTTTACATATCAGGACATAATAGCAATGATCTGTTCCTTTGCAGATCTTAAAATTAGGTAAATACAACCTCAGAACAACAGCACATGGCATATTATATGTGTCATGATTTAACTAAAATAAAGCCAAAATAGTGAAGCAATGTATGAAATACTACGTTTACCCTTACTGCATCCATATGAATTAAGAGCCTAAGTAGCAGACAGATGCTGCTAATAACATGCCCTTGATTAATTGATCATAAGCAAGTGTGGCCACCTTTACAAAAGCTAAAGTTTTAGCAGTTTGCTGGTTAACACAATGCCAATGAGGAAAAAGACAAGAGCAATGATCTTAGATTGCTGCCTATCAAACTGGGAAGGGTTATACAGCCATTTACAAACAATTTAAAGTCCATCATTCTACTGTAAGAATGATTATTCAAAAGTGGAAAACATTCAGGACAGTTGCCCCAACCATCAATGCACGTAAATACCCAGCCGCCTAACCCCTGATGTGTATGCTTAGATGGGGGTAGCAGCCTAAAGGATGTATTCACTCGAACTTAGGTACCTTAATGTGTTGTCTAAATGCTATTCTATTTCTACTTTCTGTAGCACTTAATATTCTAATAAACAAAGATTGACAAAAATTTCTTTTTTTTTTTTTTTTTAAAAGACAGTTGCCAAATCTCCCCAGGAGTGGATGTCCCAGCAAATTCATCCCAAGTCAGACCGTACAATTCTCAGAGAAATTTAAAAAAAACTGAGTTACATCTCAGACTCCACAGGGCTCAGTTACCATGTTAAATGATAAAGTTCATGACAGCACAATTAGAAAAAGATTGAAAAGTATGGTTTGTTTGAAAGGGTTACCAAGAGAAAGCCTATTTTCTCTAAAAAGAATATGGCAGCTCGGCTTAGGTATGCAAAGTTGCATCTGAACAAACCACAAGACTTCTGGAACAATGTCCTTTGGACAGACGAGACCAAAGTGGAGAGGATTGGCTATAATGCACAGCACCACATTTGGCAAAAAACAAACAGCATATCAGCACAAACATCTCATACCAACGGTCAAACACAGTGACGGAGGGGTGAGGATTTGGGCTTGTTTTGCAGCCATAGGACCTGTGAACCTTACAAGGTCATGGAGTTGACCATGAATTCCTCTGTATACCAGAGTATTCTAGAATGTGAGACCATCTGTCAGACAGCTAAAGGTTGGCTGAAATTGGGTCATGCAACAGGGCAATGGTCCCATGCACACCAGCAAATCTAGAACAGAATGGCTGAAAATAAAAGAATCAAGATGTTGCAATATCAAAGTCCAGACCTCAACCTGACTGAAATGCTGTGGCAGGACCTTAAGAGAGTTGTACATAAACAAATGCCAGCAACATTGTAAAGAGTGGGCCAAAATCCCTCACCAACCATGTGAGAGACTGATAAACATACAGAAAACAATTACTTCCCGTTATTGCTGCTAAAGATGGTTATACAAGCTATTGCATTAGAAGGTGTACTTGGTTTTTCACACACGGCTTCTTCATTTAGGCTTGATTTTTATTAAATAAATCATGACACGGTATAATGTGTCATGTGATGTTGTATTTACCGAAATTTTAAGACCTGCTAAGAAACAGATGATTGTTATCTTCTGATATGTAAAACCATAGAATTCAAAGAGGGTGTACTTTTTTCCCCAATGACTGTATTTATGTGCCATATTGCAAACTAGAAATTTAGATTAAAAAAATAAAATAAAAAAGGGCACTTGTGTCATGTTGTTTTTATTTTTTGTTCATTAGTTAGTGTGTTATTTTATTAGTTTTTTTTCTAAATAAATATGTCTTTGCACCAATGTGAGCAGTACAACTATTTTAAAAATAGAAATATGCCATGGTGTTTGATTCATCATTTACAAGGCATATTACCTGTGCTCACTGCTCTGTTTGATTATCTTTTTTTAGGAAACTTTATTAAAATTTTAGTTACCACCCAACTTGTACTTTTTTGACGGAAAGGGTTGAAGACCCCCTCTTCCCCCCACCCTCCAAAAAAAAACAAAACACAACTTAAATTAAATTGTTTTTCAAATTCAAAGTTGATCACAATAATTCGTTCCTATAATTATCAATATGTTAATAGTGACTGATGAGTTGTTAATGTCACCATGTCCAATATTTCACTATTTTTAAAAACAACATTCTTAAAATTACCTGTACAGTGAAAATGACTCTATACCTTACGTGAAGCAGACAGGCTTAACCCCTTAAGGACCAAACTTCTGGAATAAAAGGGAATCAGGACATGTCAGACATCATGTGTCCGTAAGGGGTTAAACTGTTACAATCCTTTCTGACACATTTATGGACCCACCGGTTGAGGTGTTACACAGGAGCAATTTAAACCAAAGGAAAAGATGGAGCCTTTTGTGCAGAGGAGACACACTTAGGTAGCAAGAAAAGAGGGATAACCCCTAAACCGTTACTATCAATAAAACAAAACCAACGGAAAAAAAACAAAATGTGATACAATGTATCCTTGCACTAGTTTAGAACAGGTGGAAGAAAGGGGGAAACTAAATTCTTAGAGACCATTTCTCCTATCATAGAGTAAGAATCTTAAGTGCCTTCGAGGGCACCCCTATGCATTAAACCTGTACAAGGTGACTAGTACTTGATACAACATATTCCTGTGCTGGTAACAAACGGGTGAAGGAAAGGGCGGACCAAATCCTAAGAGACTATTTCTACTATCACTAGGGTGAAAGACTCTTGTGCCTTCAGGGGCACCCCTTAGCAAAAGACCTGCTCTGCTTCAACCCCCAACCTCCCCACCCACCCACCCGCTGCAATTGCTAATGACATTAGTAGGAATATATAGGGACAACACTCCCCCCAGCTCCCCTTTAAACCGTCCCCTAAGATCCCTAACCCAGACTTTATACTGTTCCAAGACACGACAGAACGAACTGTACTACTAACCCATAACACCAGGAAAACCGTAAAATTCATCACAGAACCCTGGGCTAACAGGTGAGCGAGAAACCGCATAACAACCGCACACAGCCAACTCGAAAGACGACATACTACTGACAAATACCTTGAACTGAGTAAGGGTGACCTACAAATCTGCATCTGACTATCATAAATATGATACTCACCTTGCCTAAGAGACCTGTGCATCTCAAAATGCTGAATGCTGCTTCACATATTGGAAACCTGCGTGTTTCACACTGCACACAGACTAAATGCTTGTTGAATACTAGACAAAACTTTAATAAAACGATATTTACAACAAAAAAAAAAATCACCCTCAATTCTCACTGACATTCAAAAAATGTTATTAATCAGATACTTTTGCTCGATTGCGATCAAACTAGACCCACTGTCAGGTACAAATCTAGGAAACAATAACAACAATGACAAATCAAAGGGTCAGAACAGACCCCTGTTTTTATTTAGCAAACAGCACGTTAAGGTACGAACGGATCCTGGGTACTTTTAATATTCAGACCACTATAACCATTTACAATTCATTTCTTTTTCCCCCCTAAACTTGAATGAGACTGAACGAAATCGTATAATATTGATCACTGAAATCTTTGTGCATCTCTTAATACCCAAAATATTTTTTCTTGTGCCACCTAATATCTCAGATCCCTTTATGGATATAAAGTGCAAACAAAAAAAAAAATAAAACGGAATAAAACTGAATCCACTATGAATGCAAAGGAACACATTTAAATCCATGTATTTCTAACACTAGAATGCTCTGGTTTTATTTGTTTCCCCTTTTATTGAAAAGGAGAAACCAAACAAAACAAACTAAACAAAAAAAATAAAATAAAATATATCTGTATATTAGAATTAATCCAAAATATCAGAGCCAGAAAAGCGGATTTGGAGAATTTTTTCAGTTAAGTTATATTAGCTTAATAAAAAAATAAACATAAAAATAATAAAATTAATACATGAAGTGTTGAGGAGAGAATAACATAGCTCAAGAAATTTTAATTACAAGCGGGTGGCCTTGCTATCAAACTATCGAGGCTAGAAAAAAAAAAGGACATCAAATTATATTGGAATTATGGACATTTAGCAGTAATATGTTTCTGCCAACCAGTAAAAGAAGACAATACTAAAAACAAAAAGGAGGTTCAAAAACAAGCCTATGGTCAAAACATTTTTATTTATTTTTAAATATAGACAGGCTACTTGAATTTTTATTTTATTTTTTTAATATTAGGTTTAATTACTCCCATATTTAACAAATATGTATTTGTGACGTGTGAAAAAAAATAATAATGTAAGAATCTGTATTTATTTTTATCCTGCAAAATGGATCTACCATCCTAGCTACCTGTCAATCCTAGTTATAAAACATTGTCCTTTGCGTCTGGCAGTCAGCATAGAG